AAGTAGCTAGGCACGTTTACTTACCGCTTTCTGCTAGAAGTTCCTTCTTCGTAGTGTGGCAAGACTGCGCCCGCGGAGAGAAAACCGCAGCTAACGGGGTTCGCTCCTCTTCCCAGCGAGAGAAGGCTTGAGAGTCGAACGTCCACCGGCAAGGCTCAAGTCCACAATGGCGCCCGGTGAGGGCCCTCGAACTTTAGACGCCGCCCTCGCCGCTGCTGTTACCTTGCCGACGCTATCGAGGTGGCCGCCGATAAGAGCGTACCAAGTCGCGTCCTTTTGAAGTTAACCACGGGTTGTTCTTCTCTTTATAAGGCGATGCGACGGGATTCTTAGCAACACGGTAAATACTTCGTACTGAGTCAGAGAGGGCTTACGCTCCGCCGTCTCTGACATGGTTTATAGCTGGTGGTTGAGACCCTGCGTGCGCAGAAGTAAACCCCGGATGCATGACGTGTGTGTGTTCGTGTGAGAGCAGGTGTGACTTCCGCGTACCCATGCAGAACTATGATATATGATTACAAAGTCTAAAGGTTCCGCCGATAAAAATAAAATGGAAAAAAATGAGTTGTGCACGGGTGTGTCTGGGTTGACATAGGCCCATGACCGGACCTTGTGTAGGTGGATGTTTTCTAGACTACGTACTGCGTTGGTCTTGAAGGCTGTTTTTCTTTCTAAAGTAAAAGTGAACCAACAACGTGGTTAGAAGAAAGTGATGTTTCTTTTTAAATGCAAGTTCTAGCTCGAGGGAAAGGCATTTAGTATAAATACCGTAGTTTTCACGCTTAGACCCACGTTGATATTAGACGAAATACGAAGTAACTCCTTTTTTGTTAGTATTTTATGTGTTTACATTGACTTGAAATGTAAAAAAAAATAAACGGACATTTTCTTGTTTTTTTTTTAATAAATCTTAAGTCAAGATAAAAACATTTCCGTTAGACACAAATGTTTTACTACTTAGGCAAAGATACAGTTAAGAACGGTCCTCCACCTAATATTTATTTTTTCATATAAAATACCGGCTTATGTTACCAACCGCTTCCATATAAAAGTTACGATTGATGATCGTTCATCCGTGCACATTTCTCGCAACAAATTCTTCTACGAGAGTGTACGTCATTTCAGATTAGGGCGATAAACCTCTCGAAATGAAATCAATTGGGGCTTTATACACCGGAGAAAATATTACCGTTGTGATGCTTCCCTGTCCCTTGTGCGTGCCACCCACTAAATAAATAGGCTACGCTTCAGAGCGCGGCACGTCAGTCATCTTTGTGCTTTAAATCCTTTCGCTTGATCATGTTCTCTGAGCGTGTATTGGACACGATTGTGACGTCAGTGTTCTGCGAGGACAGGAATCCAATCACAAGCTTCTTGTCCAAGCAGTGGCGGTTGTCAATGTTGCTCGAGGGACTTTTGACAAGGGTCTCGTTGCACCCACTCTGGAAAGAGCACCAAAATGGCGGCGCCGTCCATAAAATCTGGAAATGGAAAGTCGACAATCTAAACTTAACTTGTGACTCTAGTGATCGCTATTTCCTGTTATGGCTCAAATTTGGGCGGCGAATTCATACGGGTATTGTCGGTGACAGGGTAAAAACTTCTGGACGCGATGAGTCCTGTTCATCATTCCGATATCATCTCGTAAGGAAGCCGAAAAACAAATCGTGAAGTATAAAATGTGAACATGATAAATCATGCCCCATGTTTCCTAAGCTTTAAGTGACTAGAGATCCCTTTTTTGCAAAGGCCAGCGAGCAGTGCTGCTTTTAATAACACAAAAAATACACTTGACATATTTTTTTTTCGTATGCTCTCAGTATCTGAAGTATACTTTTCATATATACTTTTTGTACACTTTTTGAGACAAGCGCGTTGGTACAGTGTAAATATTTAAGAAAGAATTCAGCACAGAGGGACAGAATACGGACAGCACATCTTCCGTGTTGACCGCGTTCTGTTTTATGCTCTAATTCCTTCTTAAGTTTTTATACTTTTAGTGTACATCGTATCATAGCGGTGCGGTCTGCGCGTCGACCCAGTCTGGTGACTAAGGTATACGTTCTAAAAATATATAGTCAGTATATTATTAATACACATCAAATATACTTCAAGCGTACTTGCGACACAAGTGTACGTTATTAAAGATTTCAAAATAGTCATGGCGAGTTTAAGAAATGCTGAAATGGGCTTAATAAGGTAACGCGTCTAGCTGAGAAGCGGTAATAAGAAGACCGGGATGCACTACATTCTGCTCTTCTTGTTAAGCTGCCAGTCAGTGTGTAACTATTAAATAACGAGACTCATCTTAAAAAAAACAAAAAACAATTTATTTAAAAACATTACACAATGGCAACGCCGTCTTCTATGTACTTCCCTCACCCGCACCTGCAGCGTTTCATGCCAATTTTCCATTGCTGAAATCATTGCTGTAGGTCATCGAGTGATAAGTCCTTCTGAGCTCTGTCGCTCAGGGGCTCCGGAAGCGGGGGGGCAGGGTGGGCTTGAGCCCCTCCTGTCCTCAGGACCGAGCTGCCGAGCCCCCCTCCCCCTCCTTTTTTTTTTAGTTTGTGTGTTTGCAGGTTATCTGGTATAGGCCTTCGGCCTATCTGCTGTACCTCCGTCTCTCCTGAGCCGAAATAAATGAAATGACCCTTTATGCATGCTGACCTACCGCCCTCCTCACCTCCGCCAAGCACAAAAAGCACCGGGGCGACGGAGAGGCTTGCTTGAAACGTCAAAACCAGAAGAAAATGACAGGCAGGACTCATGAGCCTGATTGACAACCAGTTTAGAGCGAACAAAGAGGGGACAGTAAAATGAATGGATTCCGACAAGACGACGTCGGCGAGCGTTTGTCTGCTTCCCCCGTGTGGAAGCAAGAAACCCAGAAGATGCATGGTGCTTCTCTGGCCCGCGGACAAAACAGGCAGGCGGTACTACCGCGGCGCTTAGAGGCCATCATTAGGAGAGGAAGGGGGGAAGGGGGGGGGGGGGGGGCTGGTGAGCTTGAGTGGGGATTCGGGAGTGCTTAGAAAAGGCGAGTCTACGAGCTCCCAAATTTGACAAGGCGCCTTCGATGGCGAAAGCTTTGCGCGGATGCGGTGTCGTGCCCACAGTGTGGTGAGGTATTAGGCGACACCTGTTTACAAACCCAGGACAACACAACACAAAGTCTCAAACACAGCTCTTATCATTCAGCACCTTCCTTTTGTGATGCCTCCCAACTTGCATTGCCGCCATGAGTCCGAAGCGATCACGGTCGATGTACTTGACCCTGAGGTACATACCGATGTATGCAATCTCTGCCTCCAGTTGAGACATCCGATGGCCCAACATTGCTGTGTTTGAGATTTTGTGTTGTGTTGTCCTTCCCCCCCCCCCCCCCCCCCCCCCCGAGTCTCGGGGTTTTGTCTAAAACATTTAACACTTGTTTGTCTACGTCTGCGTTAATACATCATGCTTCCCCGAGAATCCCTAAATGAAGGAACGTTTTCATTTTTAGACATAGCCAATTTGGCATAGGCACAGCTGCGGTTGATATGTAAAAGTTGGTATAGGAAAGAAAAAATAAAGAACAGATGGTGCGGCTGATTTCAGTGGTTATCCAATCATTGTATGAGTTGTCAGTGCAAGCTTCTTACTGTTATTTTACTGAACCATTGTTTTACTTTGTTTTTCATGGATATGTGCGTGAATATGCGAACGCGCTGCATTAATATGTTTTCATTCCAATATGGCAATTAATGTCAACCTGAAACCAACCTAACCTTGAGGATTTCGGAGATGTCGAGCCCCCCCTCCAAAGAAAGACTTCCGGAGCCTCTGCTGTCGCTTTTGACTTTCCAGCCCCAACAAAAGAGAGTTTTAGTAGATCGTTCCTATAACGATACCCTATAACGATACGATAACCATACGATACCGATACACAGAACAGGAATGAGCGTTTAGTAGACCGTTTTGAAGACGATACATCCGATACGGTCACTTAAGGCGCTGGGGCACTCCCTAGTGGAAACGATTTGCAATTTCCAAAACGAAAAATAACGAAATAAAAGAAAGATGTTTCACTGAAGGAAAATTAACAGTTCTTACATTTAATAGAATTAAAAAAAAACATCAATTAAGTTTTATAAGTTGCAGAAATTAGAGAAATGCAGCAGCAAGCTACATCTAGCCAACTAAAGACATGCCAATTTAGCCCCCCCCCCCCCCCCCCCCCCCCCCCCCCCGTGGCTTGTCACGGGAAGCCATAGAAAGCACGGGTGGCACGGCCGTGAGCGAGTCGAGCGAGTGACCAACCTGAGCCATGGCGACGTGTGTTTTCGAGGATCCCTTGGCCTTAGCTGTTTTGAGGTGGGACGAAATTGAAGAACTTTCCTTTCTGGATATGGAGTACCCCGTTCCGCGGAGGTTTAGGTCCGGGCGAGGCTACTTGGATGTGCTCAACATAGATAGTGAAGCTTTCCGCCATCAGTTTCGTTTTGAGCAGATGGACTTAATGGAGCTGTGTAGCGCGCTGCGAGTCCCTCATACAATTAGGACGGCCCAGAACGTCGCCATCCCCGGGCAGGAAGCTCTGTGTATTCTACTGCGGAGACTCTCCTACCCCAACCGCCTCTGCGACCTGGAAGGCATGTTTGGCCGCCACTCTTCGACACTTTCGAGTGCGACGACTGTGGTGCTAAACCATTTGACGTCCACGTTCGGGCAGCTGACCGCGGATCTGTCAGCTCACACGTGGTTGAACCGTGCAAGCTTGGACGAGTTCTCCGAGGTAAGCATATTGTAAAGTTAAATTAAAAACACAAAAAGAAAAAAAAAATGCAAGTGCGTTGTTGATTTTGCTTTTGCAGGCGGTCCGCGCGAAGGGGGCACCTCTTCAGAATTGCTGGGGTTTCGTTGATGGAACGGCCCGCCCCATCTGCCGACCCACGGAGGACCAGCGGCTTTATTTCTCTGGCCACAAGCGTGAGCACGCCATCAAGTACCAGGGCGTCATGTGTGCCAACGGCATCATCGTGGAGATGAATGGCCCTTACCCGGGACACCGACACGACGCCGGTAAGTCAATAGCAAAAACTCGGAAATCGTAACCTACAGGTTCTTGGAAGAAGCGCTCATAAATAGAGGAACAGCCTCTATCACAGCCAAAATAAGTTGAAACGCCACAGGCAAGACCCGTGCTGCTATCAAGGCAGCCTGTGGAATTGTTCTGCAAACTGTGATGGGCGCCGTGGCCAACACAGAGTTCCTTCTACACTGGCGGCTCACCTCTATATTTCCGTGTCGTCTGCTATTGAGCAAATGGTTGCGACATTTCTTCCTTTCGCCAAACCTCAAAACCCACGCACGATGCAGAATAAATCTTTATTGCAGATCTTGTCGAAAGACTGTGCTTATGATAACACAATAATTGGTAAACGATTTAGTGCCCGAAACACATAGATCGCACCTACAGGAATGTGGTTCGACCTCAGGGTACACCACGTAAAGGGCGTTTTCGTGTTTCAAGGGACAGGGACCGCAAGCTTGCCAGAGCTGCATCGGTGAATAGACCTTTTTCAAAGCACGATGCTGCTGTCCACAGCACCGGGGACGCGACAGGAAAGTAAGGCGAGCAACTGTGCTATACCTCTTGCTCTCTTCAGTGTCAGGGGGGGCAGGCAATGAGGGATTTTTGCAAAAAGCATATTCCTTCCAATTGGAGTGGGAGCTTCAAGATGACCCGACCATCGAGGCATCCTTTTGAACAGAACTGCTGTTTCATAGGCAGAGAACACAGAAAATCAGGGTGGCACAACGAGCGCAGAAAGGGGTATGTCTTGGCCTCATCGTGCATCACAGTTTGCAGAACAGTGCGGCAGGCGGCTTGGAAAGTACTGCCTGCCTCACATCCTGGCTTTTCAGCTCATCTTGGCCGCGATAGTACAGAAGAAATACTATTTCATGCTTAAATGCTGAAAGTCAAGCTGGTGTTCTTCGGACAGGGAGTTAAACTCTTAAACTGGGGTGGAAAAATAATGTGACAGTACGAAGGGAGGCAAACACTTGTCCCATTGCTTTTTTGTTAAAGGGCGTTGTTGTATAAGCTTGGGACTGTGGAATAAAAGAAGACAAAGCTGAGAATGGATCAGGAATGGCAGTCCTTTACTCCTATCCTAACATGTCAGTTATGACTACTGCAGTAGACCTATTGCCACTGAATGCAGCACTTACCCTTGCGTGGTTACTTGTTTCATTAGGCTGCTTGCCAGAGTTGCGGATAGTTTTCCAGCGTGTTCGATCGTGCAGACGAGAGCCTGCATGCGAGCTGCCAGCTTGGCAGCTCACAAGATCATCGGGCATTCCAGTAAATCAATGTTTCGGTAACCATTAGCCCAGTTATTGAACACATGATGGCAGCATTCACAGTCGCTGACGCAGTGCAAGACACTGGCCGAACAAGGGCAGCAAGCTAAAACGATGTCAAGCTGGTAACCTAAGACTGTGCCTAACTGCCGTGGTGGGAATGATTTGTCCGCAGAAGTAAAAGTTGAGGGCTTTATGTGCCAAAGTAACGACGGGCGACTGGCACGCACCAGTGGAGGATTAATTTATACCTCCTGGGTATCTCGATGTGCAACAAAAAGCTCGGTTACGACGGCACCTTCTCTGTAATAAGCCTCTATCAGAGTGCTAGCCGCCTCGGTGGCTCCGAGGCGAGAGCGCTGTCCTACGGATCCTCATGTCGCGGGTTCGAATCCCGGCCGAGGTGCCCGCAATCTGACGGAGGCTTATTGCAGAGGAGGCGCCGTGTAACCGAGCTTTCGGTTGCACGTCAAAAGATCCCCAGGTGGTCCAAATAAATCCTTAGTCCTCCGCTGGGGCGTGCCAGATACCCGTCGTTGGTTTGGCACGTAAAACCCCCAAATTTGACTGTTCCATCAGAGTGCTGGCACCTCGGCGGGGATTCGAACCCGCCACCTGAGGATCCGTAGGCCGACGCTTTGCCTCGACCGAGGCGGCTGATGCGTCCACAGCTCTGATGTAAATCCCTTCGCGTTTGAAATGACAACAAATTTGGATGTTTTCAAACTGGAACATTAAACAAGGTGGCTGTGGCAGTGGCAACAGTACCCTCTGACCTCTAAATTGGCAAAACCAAACAAGGTCACACAAATCAATGTTTTGCTCTATGCAGTGAGGAAAGGGCGTGTCGATCTTTGTGGCTTATCGACGTGCAGGTGGTGATTGTCACTGTATGCTACTCAGTGTTTTATCGTTGTGTCTCGTCTGACTCCTTTTTCAGGTATCCTGCGGCTGAGCGGCCTTTATGAAAGGCTTGAGGACCTCGTGCAGGGCAGCGTATACACGATCTACGGTGACCCTGCCTATCCTTTGCGGCCTTTGTTGCAGAAACCATTCATGGGTGCTAGCTTGACTGCCGCAGAGCAGAACTTTAACAAAAAAATGAGCAGCGTGAGGCAAGCAGTAGAATGGGGCTTTGGGAAAGTGTCAACTCTCTTCGCTTTTGTAGATTTCAAAAAAAATCAGAAGCACAGGCTGCAGCGCGTGAGCGATATGTATCAGGCTACAACACTGTTAACAAACTGCCACACGTGCCTGTATGGCAGCCAAACCTCCACGTACTTTCAGCTGTCTCCGCCGACGCTGGATGAATATCTTTCACCTCGTTATTGACTTCGTATAATTTGAATTCTTTTTGTGCAATCTTTTTTTTGTCCGAGTGCCTATAGTCTGTTGCATGTTGCAACACGAGAGGGTAGGGCGAGGGAAAGGGAGGCCAGGGAGGAGGAAGTAGACGGAACCCTGGAGAGGAGTGGGGGAAACCTCCTCCTCTAGCGTTTCATCTGCTTCCTCCTCCTTTGTCTTTCTTTTTCTCGCCCTACCTTCTTAGTTGCAACAGACCATAGCATTTTTTATGACTATTTATTCCACGGGATGACTTTTGTGCAATTGTCTGGTTGCTTACCTGCTGCATTTCTTTTATCTGCCTCTTGTGTTCTTTTCAAAGCAGCAACCGTGTTCCTATATATATTGTTTTAGTTTTGTGAATGATACAGGTTTATATGTTAAGTATATGCTATTTCTGTTATTCGTCAAGCGCCTTCAGCTTGACATAAATTTTATCAGCGTGGTGATTTTCAAGTGTCTCATGTTATTGCTTTGCCAGTCATTGCCAACATAGCATTTGCTGTCTGTTCAATATTACACTCAAAATATTTCTTTGTATAGTAAATCGAACGGGCCTACCCCTGCCGTTTTTTTTTCAACTACATTGTTTAATGAAATGAAAGATTTATTGCATTATGTATTATGATGTCATACCACTTGCTCACACTTAACTTTACTTGTTAATTTGACCATTCACTACTTTAAGGTAATGTTCTTGCAGTTGGAGACGAAGCCTCCTCTCCTCTGCTCCAGCCTCCTGTAGCACATAAAAATTTTCTCTTTCAAACGCTAAGCGATTTTCGCTTAAGGTCACCTGGCGCTCTTCAATGGCCAGGCGCCTCTCCATTTGGCGCTCCTCCATGGCGAGATGCCTTTCCTCAAGAGCGATCTCTAGTTTTTTTATGCTGCGGTCCTCTTCTGCTCTCTTCTCCAGCGATGCAAGGTGCTCCCTGTACCGCTTCTGCCTGGTTGCTGGAAAAATACAACAAAGGAAACAATGCACACAGCATCAAATAAACAACTTTTTTAAAATTTTTCTTAGTGTGTAGGTTGACAATTGATTGAATGTTTATTTTATTGGACCTGGCAATTCAATGAAGGTACTGCACAAAAAATACTGGGTAATTCATGTGTGTTCAAACAGTGACTGAGATATGTCTGTCTAGTAAGCAAAAAATAACAAATGTAAATCACAGCCCAAAACTTCTAGAGCAGATTTGGAGAATTTCTACAAATGGGGTTATGTGTATCCTCTTTCAAAAGTTTAACGTATGTTTGAAGCATCTACTGAAAGATGGCAGTGCTTACCCTGTCCGCCCCAAGTCCTAGGTCGTGCGACAGAAGTAACCGGCACACGAGCCTGGACTGGTGGCAAGGGGGGTTGGACCAGCGGCACAGGGGTCGGAACCGGCGGCACAGGGGCTGGGGCCAGCTCCACAACTTGGTCTGTGTTGCCTGGTTGCCAGGCGTCGGCGTCCTCCACGCCGTTCATTATGTCAGCAAAGATAGACTGGCAGTTCTCAGAACCTGTAAATAGAGTATTCCATAAATATTTGTGGTGTATCATGACACACGCTGTGGAGCTGGGCATTGAAAATGTATGAAAAATACAACGCAGGTATGATGGAGTCAGATCTTCAAAAGACCATTCCAAAATATGTAGTGCCTCTTATCGTTTCCTCGACACATCACGACACTCCGATGTGCGGCGCGTGAGGGAAAATGTTCCATGAATAGAAGAAGCTGTTCATGCCGGCTTAGCATTCTGCATTTTCTGAATGCCTGAAACATTAATGTATGTTTAGAACATACATTAATGTATGTTTAGAACATACCTAATCAGAACTCGGCAGTTTACTCAAAGCTGTGCTCTGGGAACTACAGATGTACCCAAGTAAATTACACTTTTACTTGAGAGCAGCAGACCATGTAAGTCGTCCTCAGTAGGCTATTCGATGGGAACTCGCGAGTAGCCTAATATCAGTCGTAGACAAACGCGATTGATGGAGCGGTCATGACGACCTGACTTTCCTAACCAGGTGGGGTTCATGACGCACGTGTCATACTTACTAGACTGCCCTGCCACTGCATTATGATTGACCGGTCTGTACTCGGCTGCAGCCGCAACAACTCGCGCTGTAGTGGCAGCATCGCGAGCAGCCCGATTTGTCGCCGGCCTGGTAGTGGTGGCTGTGGCACGTTCCCGCGGTTCCAGCGCAGCGGTGGAGGTGGTGGTGGCACCTTCTACGGTGGCTGTCGCCTTCCTGAGCACTGGCTTAACCTTGTAACAAAATTCACAGGCCAGGTCAGCAACATCCTGCAGCAGCTGCTCTTTTTCGGTGTACTGCTCTTCCGTTCCGGATCTAAGGGTTTCAGGGGGATGCGGTATCAACAAGTGCGCCTGTCTTCCTCAAGCGTAGATCTGTTATTTCAGTCAACGAACATGAGTACATCTCCGTGTCGGGAAAGCTGCAACGCGAACTCGGTAGTTTGAAAACGCGCTTTCCTACGCGAAATGTCTAGCGGCACAGGCATGTGCGTTTCCAAACAACAAGCTCGCGCTAGCTCGCAGTTGCGCTAGCTGTTGGACAGGGTATGGCAGTATGCTAAAACTAGAGTGCCTCAATGTCCTTCTGTTTAGGGTGATGCCATCGTTGGTAGTACCCGATGCCGACAGCACGCGCTCACAGGGAAAATACAAAGAAATCGCAGGAAACAAAATGTCGCCGTAGCACAGTCAGCACCACGAGCGCGTGCAGGGACATGCACTTTCACGCGCTTCAGAACAAAAAAATAAAAATAAGCGTTCGAAACAAAATGACCAGATGTCATCACGCCAAGCAAAGCGCACATGAAGGCACCCCAGCTAAAACGCTTCTGAACTTTCAAACGGGACTCAAAAACGACTTACTTTCTCAAGTTTGTGCGGTCGTCTCGCTTGAACAGACCGAGCAGCAGGGGTGCTATGTTGCGCTTTTTGGACTCCCAGGAGACTAGGGAGAGGGAAGTGACGTCAACGACACAGCAAACGCAGATTGGGTGTTGATTTCGTTTTCTTCTGTCAACATCCAATCTGCGTTTGCTCTAGTCGTTGACGTCACTTCCCTCTTCCAAGTCTCCTGGGAGTCCAAAAAGCGCAACATAGCCCCCCAGGTCGCAGCGGTCTCTCACTCCGCGAACACTGAAGTTCCTCCCCAGTGCTTCATTTAGGTTCGCGGCCACTGTATCCCACCGTGAAGAATTCACAAACGGATTCACCGCAAGCACTTCCCTTAAAAGGAGGATATCCTCGATGATCGTGAATCGTTTTCGACCCGCTTGGGCAGAAAGAGGCTCGAGTGGAGCGGCCATGATCGTTCAGCTTTTGCCGGATCTCGTCAACTCTCGCGATGCACGAGAGTGCGCGCGATATTTCCCGATATTCCCGATACCTGCGCCCGAAACACCCGATACTCTAGCGCATGCGTGATGGCTCCGCCGCAGTATCGGGTATCGTTATCGGAGTGAGAAACGATCTACTAAAACTCTCTAAAGTCAAATATCGTTCCTTTCAACTCAGTCTTCATCTCGGGGAATAAGGAAGAGTCAAATGGGGCCAGGTCAGGTGACTATATGGCGGATGTTTCAACACGGTGATGCTACGCTGAGCCAGGAACGACATGGCTGGAGGAACGATTCATGGATCCTTTATGGCCAGCACACAAAGCCTTGACAGGCATGTCGTTCCTGGCTCAGAATAACATCACCATGTTGGAGCATCCGCCGTACTTTCCTGACCTGGCCCCATCTGACCTTTTCTTTTTCCCCAAGACCAAGTCTGGGTTGAAAGGAACGAGGTTTGACCTTGTTGGGCAAAAGCGACGGAGCTCATGAAGGGCTTATCACTCGATGACCTACAGCACTGCTATCAGCAATGGAAGATTCGCAGGGAGCGGTGTGATGACAGGGGAGGGGTGTACATAGAAGGAAACATTACAATTTGGGCTGGACGATTGATCGATTAACCTACCGATTAATCAAGTGATCCTTTAATCACGATTAATACGTTTAACCGGTTCATCGGTTAAATTTTGGCAATACAAAAGAAAGTAATAATTCAACGCGTACACCACAAAAACGTGAATGTTTTTGCACCTGTACGAAGGGCACATTTTAGGTGAAATTTTGGCCTAAACTACAGGGGTGATATTTGTAACTCTAAACAAATGCAGAATGTTACGTCTCTTAAACGCCGTGCAAGTTGCCGTTTAGCGCAGTAGAGATTATTGCGAACACACAAATGAACTCGCTCTTGCCAGAGGATACCAACGTACCTAGCTCTTTGCCTCTGCAGCTGAAGGACTAATATTACCTTAGTCTGAGTATTTCTGGACTCTTCTCAACTACACATCGAGGTTGATTCATTATAAAAACTGTGCACTAATTACGCCATTTGTAACGTATTCAGCAAAGGCAAAAAAAAAAGTAATTCTGCCTTTTTTAGATAATACGCATTGAAATGAACAAAACCAATTAATCGAGTAAATGGCAGCGATTAATCGGGTTGAATTTTTAATTCGACGCCCAGCACTACTTCCGGCCCCTTCAACGCCGTGCGAGTGTCTGTTTAGCGCAGAAGAGGCTATTGTGAACAGTCGAAGGAGGTCGCTTTTGCCAGAATATCAACGAACCCCTTTGCCTCCTGCAGCTGAAGTAATAATCTGAAAGTGCCAGTGTCTTTAAACTGTTCTCAACTTCACATCGAGGTAGGTTCATAATCAAAATTGTAAATTGCGCCTTTTATTACATATTCAGCAAAGGCAAATAAATGTAATTTTGGCTTCTTTATAAATATTATCCATGGAATTAATTATTCGATTAAAGGTTGGCGATAAATCGGGTTAAATTTTTAAATCGACACGCAGCCCTAATTACAGTTCTGGAAGTTTTGTTTTAAATATTATTTTGTAAAGAGTTGCCTTGTTATTTAATAGCCACGCCTGTATAATATGCTTTTAGTGTATTACTCCTTGCAAAGGGTTAAACCTATAATTTCTCCTATTCACGAATTCACGTGAACAAATTAGCAGGTACACGCTTTATGACTGTAGCCGCAAGTTAACATCGCATATGAGAAAAAAAAAAAGTGAAAAATCGGAAATGTGATATTCGTATTTTGTTTAAATACTATGTACCATGTTTTATATTTGTATTCGAATCAGGCCGCTATCTGATTTCGCCGTTGTGCTTTTATTTCCCTCTAAAAGTTCATAGCGGAAGCAGACAGCTTCGACATTAACTCCGCGTTCGCATTATACGTGGTGTGTCGCGCGTTTTTAGAGAGATTTAGAATTGACATGCGCTTTGTGTTGTGAGAAAGGAAGCCAGGCGAAGATAATTGCTTATTCCGCATAGCTGTGCGCTTCGAGTCAGTTTGGCCTGCAAAGCCCAACTCTGCCCTCCCGCGTCTTGCATACTGAAAAAAAAAAAAGTGAATTATTAACATTATAATTGTAAAGCACCGACACAGCTTATACATGTTTCATAAGTTATGCGATGAGCTACCAAATACCACGTATACTGTACGTAATTATACTTCCTCAAAACTCATAAAGAATATTTTATGTTTTTGTTTTTCCTTCATGAAGCCGTCCAGTTCCTTGTGATCCTGGTCCACTTTCCCCCTTCCTCGTTTTAGTGCTCCTCGTAACCTTATTCCTCTTTCCTGCTTCCGCCCTCTAGAGTAACGGAAAGATTAGGATTCAATGGGACAGGAGAATCCAGAGTCTCTCGTTAGAATAATAATAACAATGTTGGTGAATTTATTCCTGGAAATTGACATCTCATTGACGCTTCACAGCCAACGAAATTGCGGCCTTTGACAATGAAAACGCTGATCATAGATTCACAAGAAGTGTGAACATAACAAGCCACGTTCTGTGTATGTCTTTTTTTTTTAATAGTCAGTGACTGTAGTATTGCGAGAATGACTGCTTATTTACAGACACAAAGAAGTTACCGTAACCTGCATTTAGAAATGAGAAGTCTGCTAACTACGCAGCCATGCTGGAATCAATAGTGCGGGATCGCAAGCAATGTTCTGCCCAACTGGAGTTCCCTCAAATCGAAACAATTCAAGACCCCCAGAAGTTCAAAAGTCGCGCAAATACAGAACATGAATAGTTTCTGCGAAGGTATGACATAATGATGGAATCGAAAAAGCAGTTTCCGTATGCCATATCTCTATACTCTCTAAAGTGTGTGACTGTCACCAACACAAATGACTGCAAACGGGGGAGGAGTAATAAACTGGATAGATGTAAGAACAGACGTTGTTTTCGTCCTCATGAAGGTGGCCTTCTATGTCCAGGAAGCCACGGTCCCTCGCCGTCCGCCGGGCTCTTTCGACCAGCTTGATCTGGTCGTCAGGCTCCGCGCTGGTCAGCTGGTTCTCCCACTGTTCTACGGTTGGACCTTGGATGGACGCTACTGATGTGCCGCCCCGGCATTCCCGCACCATAGGGTATAGGTTGTTGGGTACTCGTAGCATGTTGGGTGGATCCGGTGGTAGAGTGCTCCACACGGGAAGGCAGAGCTTTTGTAGCTGCCTCCATGAGACCGCCTCCTCTTTGGTCAGGTTCTGGTGCAGAGGGGAACAGACCGTTCTTCCAAGTCTGTAGTGCTCCAGGATCTCCGTACTTCTTCTGGGAACGCCTTCGTGTGGGCTCAACATAGCTCGATCGACCGGCAGGGAGGTCCGGAGAGTGTGTTCTCGGGCCACGGCGTGAGCCGCCTTGTTTCCCGCCAGGTCTCCGTGCCCCGGAGCCCGGACGATTTGGATATCTGGGAGGCCCTTGATCTTTGCCGAGATCTTGAGGGCCGCTGCAGCCACTCTTCCCCTCTGGTAGTTGCTGTAGGCTGCTTGCGAGTCTGTGACGATTGTGATGCACCCCCATGCCAGTTGTTGCTGCGAGATTTATATGGCCACTTCCCGTGCCGAGTCCGTAATCCAGGTCTCGGTGGAAGCCGCTGCTAACTCTCTTCCGCTACCGTACACCACGCCCAGCGCGTACGCTTCTCTCGCAGCGTACTTCGCCGCGTCAGTGTACATCGTGGAGTTTTCCATTTTCACCTCGTACATCCTTTCAAGAGCCTCTTCCCACATAAGCAGCGAACAAGTTGAATGTGAACTTATTGAACATCTATAACAACATCTATTGAACACTTACTGAACATCGACCCAGAAGTAGTTCTGTCAAGCTAACGGATTCACTTTTCTTGTTATTAGTATTTTTTACCAGTTTGTACGATTAATGAGCTTGACCTGAATGTGTAAATTAGCTTGTGTTTCTTCCTTTTCTTGTTTGTATAACATGTATATACCCCCTTATGTAATGCCCTAACCGGGCCCTTAAGGTGAAAATAAATGAAATGAAATCTATAAGAAACAAAATGTTATACTTGACTCATACTATGCATGGGGTCAATTGACAAAAATAACACGTGCCTAATAAAACGCGATATGAAGTTTATAATTCAAGCGAGTATTGTACAACTTAGTAGAATACCTAATTGATAGGTAAATTAATTAATCCTAATAATATGGGATGGACACAAGTTATGTAATCTAAGTTTTTGTCTGTCTCAGTTTGGGAAGTTCTTGATCACTCGTGACGTTTCTTTTTTGCCTATTTTTACTTTAGCCACCCCCATCCCGATAATTGTAGCGTCCACCTACGTGAGAATAAAATTGTGGTACGCTAGGAGTTTTCTAAGACATTACAGTTGTACAAGCATGTTAGACAAAACGAAAATGTCAGCTTTTCCAATGATGCTGACGAGTAGCATTCTAATAAAAAGAAAAGCGAAAATAAGCATGAAAGCCATATTCAAAGATAACGAATTGCATAAAAGTTAATCGAACTAGACCGTTTCGATAATTTGCGTTAAAAATTCTTACGAAGAATGTCTAAGAAGCTGAAAGAGTGACTCGTCCATGCCGTTCTTAGAGAGAGAAACAAAGATATAGAAGGAGAGAGAGAGAGAATAAATGAAGATGAGAAAGGACAAGAAAGGAGAAATATTAATATAAAAGAAGCGAAGAGATCAGAGAGAAAAATCATGAAAGAAAACAAACAACTCCGCAGGGCCAACGTATTGCTTTATGAAGATGGAATACTTGCTCCTTCATTCTAATACTCATAGAAGTATTTAACTGAGTGATATTCTCGGACGTAAAAACTCCATATTGCCTCTGATGCTTCCGCAAGCATGGAACGTGGAGTAGAATTTTCCACGTTCGAGAGCCGGCTACTTATGCCGGATGATCGATTCTATTGAACTCGACGCCCCACGCGTGCCTAGTCCTCGACGGCGCGGCGGAGAAGCGAACCAGGGCATCGGGGGAACAGGTTGGCTTCGGGTGTCGCCCTGCCTCCAAAGGCGCCCCTGGTCGCGATTGTTGTCGCCGACGCCGCCGCCGCATGGGGTGGCGTCACCAGACCAGCTTTTGTGGCGTAACACGGCGGGAGATTTTTTTCCCGTAAGGTCTTCGTGCTTCTGGTCTGCTCCGCTAATGGGAACACCGTTAAAAAATGCACTCCCACTAGAACAGAATAGAATGTCTGAAACGTTCTACCGCATTCCCGCATATCTATACCACGGCCGCTCGATTCTGGTTCTCGCTCCGCTGGGAACGACCTGCCGAGTGGCTCTTTTTCCTAGAGAAAACGAAAGCGCTCAGAGCGGCCAAGTGAGTGGTACTGAGCCTTTTGGTGCTAACCAGCGGCCATGGTGGTGGCGAGCGAACGGAAGCGGCGCAAGGTCCGAGCTGCGCAAAGCTAGTTTTCGTGTTGAGTTTGGTCCCTGCGCCTCCAGGGACCAACTCAAGAAATTAAGCTGGGCCTCTGTTTCTACGCATCTCCCGGTGAAGCGACAGGCCGTGCCGAAGCGGCAGTGGCCAAGCGGCCATGTCTATATAATCCAAAAGGGGGAAAATGTTTCAGAGGTTAGTGTTAGCTCTTAGTGCATTTGTTTCGCTCGTTTGTGCGACAGCTCTTACTTAGACTCACTGTACTCATAAGGGTGGCGATGTGCTTTAGTTGGTTCATACTGACGAAAAGGCAAACAGCGCACAGTAAACTGGGACTAAAAGAAGTGCAAACAGGACAAGCGCTGCCCTCATAAAGTACAGCTCTTTTATTTTTGCACACCATGATGTGCGGGAAATCAAGCAAGATCGAAATTTTAAAACACATATTTTGTGGCAACCGTATTTGAGCGTAATGTTGTTACATACTTGATGTTAAGATCTTTTTTTGTACGTTTGGAGGTGTGTATTAGCAATAAACGCGCTCAGACGTAAAAAGAAAAATTGTGTCTGGACACGAATTTGACTTTGGAGATTGCGGAAAATTGCTGCAACGTAGTGATATTACATTGTGTAATAATTTATGAATTATCTAGAAAGTCGAATAGTCTGCACAAATAGTTCGTCAGTGCTTGAAAGTTGAAACATACCATGCTTCCAGAAAACATTCCTATGCTTCCAGACTCCAGTGCTTGAAACAATCCTACAACTTCCAGGAAAAAAAATGAAGTGTGAAAAAACTCCTTTGAAACCACTGGATAGAATAATAACACTTCCCGAAAGAATTCTAAAGAACAAGTTTACATGGACTACAAATTTATTGGCGTTCTTCAATAAACACATTTGGTATTGCACGTGGTAGACGTTTTGCAATATGGGATCACTAAAACAAGCGCGCCGGAACGTACACTTATTTCATCAAATAATATATTATGGCACAATAAATGTGACAAATACAATAACAAAAAAGTTCACTGTGTGCGCTTGACAAGACTTGTAGGCTTATGGGCCACTCTTATTTCTGGATTATGCTACACGATGAGTGGAATTATGCGCCATGACAAACCAGCGAGTAGCCTGTAGCGTCTTTCTAAAATGCATCGAGACACGTCAGAATGATCTTCAAATTCACAAGGTGTCTTTTAGCTTGCAGGCTGATTAATTAACAGACGATAGGAGAGTAGTCGTAACATGAAAGTTAACAATTAAACTATTAATTCTGACAAAAGGTTAACTAACTTTTTTTTTTGTGCCCACTACAAGACCACTCCGCATTTGAGGATCGAGGTTTGGCTTTCTGACTCAACAGCTGGTCCCATGGGAGGAGGCGCTAAGAAACCGCATGGGCGCGATGTGACGATTAAGCCTAACAAATCTTCGGAAGAGTACCGCTCATACGGTAATCGCGGGCTCGGCAGACCCTCCCGTTGACGCGGGGGCCGATGGTGGAAGGGCCGCAGGGTCCGGAGCAACGAACGATGCGTCTGGGTTGGAAAGCTGGGAATCGTTGGCATCCTGACAGAGGGCTTCGCAGTCTTCACACGAGCACGTCTTGCCGGCGACGGTCTCGTTGCAGCCGAACGCGACGTCCTTAAAGGCACGGTACTCCCTCACATCGGTGAACGTGGCGTCTTGGACCAGTGGAACGTAGGTAACATCCACAGAAGACAGACCGGCCTTCTTCTTGCCCAAAGCGCCGAACCACAGGTTCATGGTGCAGTTCTGGTAGTCCTTGCCGCAAATGTTGGAGGACAGCGGCAGGAACTGAATGACTTTTTTGGCGTTCATGCACGAGCCGTACAGGCCGCGAAGCAGCTTGTAGTCGGCGAAGTACTTGATGGCGTCGACGGTGTCGTGGTTCTGGTTGTCGTGGCGTTGGATGAGTTGGACGTGATCTCCCTGGTGCGGTGAGCAGACCATGTTGCAGAGGACCTTCTGGAAGTTGGCGTAGCAGGCCTCGCATTTCCGCAGCCCAAGGCTCTCGACGGTCTTGAACTGTTCGACTAGCTCCGCGATCTGAGCCTCATCGCAGCAGAGCAGTTCGGTGGGCTCCTTGAAGTAGTCGCCGCAGACTTGCGTGAAGGCGTTGCGTGCTTCGGCGCTCTCAATAGCTTTAGGCTTTCCGAAGTAGGCACAGGGTAGCTTCTTTTCGGCGTCGCAGAATCCACGCATCGAACACTTGATGGCATCGCCACCGGTGAAACAATGCAGCAGGGCGAGCAGAGAGAGCGCAGTCAGTCCGGTTCCTCCCATTGCGAGCGTTGTGCGGATTCTGTCGGCGGTGCGGGCCGGATTAGCGATGGATATCGTCTTTAGCTTCGTGTGTTTTGTTCGTCGAGCGCTGCTGTCGCTGCGGTCCCGAAGGTCGGAACGACTTTTATATTTCCCGTTTCGCAGAATCAAAGAGGCTGGTGGTCAAGGCCGCGAGTATCGTTCGCGTTGTAGCCTCTCGATGCGCTTGCGTAATTGGGAGTACTTTTGACGTCTCGGATTCGTCTTCGGATAATGTCACCGTTGGATCTTAGCCAGGCGCGCTCATTCTGTGCTTCTTGAGCGCAAATGTCTGCATTATGCGCGCCATATTCTTTTGTTTTGTATGCGGAAGATTCGAGGTTGTGGCGTGGCCAGACAGCCCGATTAGTGTTCTCATTGTACTGTTCTTTTTTTATTATGCTGGGCACGATTTTTAACTCGGACTGGATAGGAACGTCTGAACATTCCCCGTAATAAGGCGACCAGTAATGTAGATGCCTTATTTTTGCATCAGTCCACGTATCATTTTTTTTTCTTCTAGAGTCTGAATGTTTTTTTTACCCCTGGTTTTATCTCAGCATGCAGTCGTGGAATGGCACGGTGTTCACCATACTTAGGCAACACCTACCTGCTACGTGTCATGAAACTAGAAATAAAATCTGCACGCGGGATTTTCTTTCATTTCCTAACACTACGCCTAATTTCTGTAGTCGTGTTGATCCCCTCGAATTTCCGTTGTCTTTTTTGAATGTACAGGGTGTCACAAAAGAAAATTTACACGGTCTTTTTTACCGCAAAAATAAACTAGGCACCGCCTAACGCTCATTCTCCGCCGAAGGGTAGAGCTAGAGGTCACAACCAGATGCCAAAGTTTCAGCCCGATCCGATAACTGAATCAAAAGTTATAAGTGATTTTCTGAAAATTTCAATAGGAAAATGGAGCCCATTTTTGCCCGTTTTCGGTTTCTGGTGCCATAGAGCCCCATGTGTTCGAAAACTTCGTCGGCTGCCATTTTCCCATTGAAATTTTCAGAAAATCACTTATAACTTTTGATTCAGTTATCGGATCGGGCTGAAACTTTGGCATCTGGTTGTGACCTCTAGCTCTACCTTCGGGCGGAGAATGAGCGTTCGGCGATGGCTAGTTAATTTTTGCGGTAAAAAAGACCGTGTAAATTTTCTTTTGTGACACCCTGTAGTCCTACATAGGGGCGAGGGACTAACAAATACCATACACTCCGAGATATTTGTAGCGCCTTTTAGTCTTCATGCCTTTGACAGATATGAAACGTTCAGTCAACGCGGTACATTTCACTGACGACTTCGGAAATGCAAGGCTGCTCTTAGTTTGAACCCGCCACTACAGCCTCTAGTATATACCTGAAACCATATTCTATAAAACACGAGGTCCCTCGAGAACTACGTGAGCTAGCAGGTGTTCGTAACTTACATATTTTAAAGTTGTTGGTAGTTCCTAACAGAAAGGGGAGGGGGAGACAAAGAGCAAACAAGTATAACGCTTGACCGAGTTTTTGCTTCAACGTCCATCTTATGGAACTTTCGTAAAGTTTACACTTTAATACATCTCACTAACATAAGGTCGTGTAGTGAATCCATTCTAGTTCCATATATTCGTTCCGTATAGATTCTTTTCCCTTGTACCTATTTTGCGCTATTTTCTTATGTCACTATAGATGGAGTTCTCCACATATTGGCGACGTGCGCGACCAAAAGCGTCGGTGCCGTCGAAGTTCGTGAATGGTCAAATCATAGCTTCTTGTATTACAATAATGCTTGCCAAATCGCCGTTACACGGCGAAGCAAATTCTACCAATCACGGCGAGGCTCATGGTCAGGCATATCCTTGTCGTGACGTCACGAAAGGAAACCGTAGGAGGGCGCCACCGAAACATCTTGGCGCTAATAGACAGCTGTCGTGGCTGCATGATGTTTTACACCCTCTTTACAACATATATTTGGCGATTTGATTTGATTTGATTTGGGAGGATTTGCAATGCTTCGAAACGCATCACGCGATGTTAGAACTAATCTTTATTTTTAGAGCAGTTGTGCTGTCACTCCTTATCGCTTAAGTCACAAAGAGCAGTATTATAGCAATAGTAGTCAAAGTTCGATTGCTCTCGATTGACCTCTCAGCGGGACAGAATTTCGGCAACAAAAACAGCGTAGTTAGAAATTACCGTGTGAGCTCGCATTTATCCATCGTTGAGCGCTATGACGAGTAATCACGTGTTGAATGCGTCTCGTTTACGTTTCTTTTTACGAGTTAATTAAGTTCAACATCGCAGTTTATCGCATCAAAGAGCTTTCCCAAACGCCTCTCGTAACGAGAAATGCTGGATGAGGTAGGCTGGTCATTGACGATAGTGGTACTACTGCCGAGACCGGTTATAACGAAGTCGGTTATAACGAAATAGCGGCTACAGCGAGGCGATCACGATTTCCCATTCCCTTTTGCACTTGGTTATAACCGAAGTCGGTTATAACGAAATAGCAGATATAGCGAAGTTGTTTCCTATTCCCGTTGACTTTGTTATAACCAGTTTCGACAGTATTCTCCGTTTCAATCCAATGGAGCCAATGAAGCGAAGTGAAAGCTCGTTCCCCGACTAGACATGCGCAGAGAATGCCCCATGATCACGTTTCTTTCTGCGGTATTGGTTTAGCAGCCAAAAACAACGAACGCCGTGATGATGCACGTTTTTGGCGATTCTTGATTGACTCAATCAGATCCTTAGGTTGGCTGCGGTTAGACTTGAAGTGACACGGAGTGTACAAACAGACGAGAAAAAAAAAATGCGTTCAGGAAATTACGTTAACCTTTGACGTCAGCTCTGATTAGTTGCTAACCGGTCAAGAACGGGATTAAAAAGAAAACGAGTTGAGTTTCCAAAAGGCACACAACCGAGTAAAGGTTCTAAAAAATAAAATGCTCCCACGTTTCTTTTTTTTTTTTTTTTTTTTTTGCGATGGCATTTTTTGGGTTAGCATTCCTGAGATTGTATGCGTCTCTCCGTCGCGGCTCGGTAGCTAAATTTAGCGGGAGAGGTTGAATTTGTGCATAATTACTCAATTTATGATAAAATTGCGCGAAAATGGCGCCGCGCTGACGCGCACGAGGAATGCCGAGGTCTACATATAGCTAGCGGAAAAGATATAAAGAATACCAAATGCTATCGCATTTCATTTCTTTTGGAATGCAGTGCAGTGCGGAGCACAAGTTCGTCTGCTTCTTTGGCGACGGTTGTGGTGACGTCAGAACGTTTGAATGTAGGGTTGTGGTGACGTCAGAACGCCGAGCTCTGATTGGTTTTGATTCAAGGATAGTGGGTAGACCTCAAAGTAAGCTGCCTTGAGGTCTACCCGCTCTCCTTCAATCAAAACCAATCAGAGCTCCGCGTTCTGACGTCACCACAACTCCCGCAAAAGAAGCAGACGAACTTGCACTCCAGATAGCATTGCGAGTACATGTCGGAATTATTCTCTTCAATCAAAATCACGGCAAAATTATTCATATCAGCACCACCAGACTAGGGTGCCTTCATGTGCGCTTTGCTTAGGGTGGAGACATCTGGCCATTTTGTTCCCACTTTTCCATTTATTTTTTGTTCAGAAGCGCGTGAAAGAGCTTGTCCCTGCACGCGTCTGTGGCGCTGACTGTGCTATGGCGACATTTTGTTTTCGTCGATTTCTTTGTATTTTCCCCGTGAGCGCGTGCTGTTGGCATCGGGTACTACAAAGGGTGGCATCACTCTAAACAGAAGGTCATTAAAAGGCAGCCTGCAGCAGACTAGAATGAACCTAGACAAACTGAATCCATCCTGTCTTTGGCCTAGACAGTTGATTCTCGAGCAAATGCAATCGGAAGTTGATTAGTCGTAGTCGTTGTCAGAACGCTCCCCACTCTTCACGGAGCTCATCTGCAATCGTGAACATTCGTGTCGCGGAAGTATTGCAAAGCAGCGGGTCAGTCGTTTTATCATATTTGAATAAGAATATCATTACAGCACAGGACCACGTAGGAACCTGTCAGAATAGCTTTGTTTTGCGTAGCCGAAAAACAATGTGTAAGCATTGTATTTATTGATTTGGTGCGGCAGTCAAAACTTGTGACGTTGTCGTATTGCACTGCAAGTTGTTGCCGCTTTGTATTTCAGTCACACAAACTGAAAACATCCGTGTCACATGGTACAATATTTCTTAATTAACGCCCGTGCGATGTCCAACACACTACTTTTTGGCGCAGCTCTTAGGCGCTCGTTCCCGTATTTCGCGGCGTCGGCTTCGCCGTCGGCGTCGCCTACGCCGCAAAACACGGGAACCGGAGGAGGAGGGTTTGGTACGCAGGAGGAGGAGGGGGTACGGAGGAGGAGGAGGGAGTACGGAGGAGGAGGAGGGGAAGTTACGCAGGAGAAGGGGGTACGGAAGAGGAGGGTAGAGTACGCAGGAGGAGGAGGGAGTACGGAGGAGTTTGGGAGGGTACGAAAAAGGAAGGGAGGGTATAGAGGAGGAGGAGCAGGGGAGGGCACGGAGGAGAAGCAGGAAAGGGTACGCAAGAGGAGGAGGGGGTACGGAGGAGGAGGAGGGGAAGTTACGCAGGAGAAGGGGGTACGGAAGAGGAGGGTAGAGTACGCAGGAGGAGGAGGGAGAACGGAGGAGTTTGGGAGGGTACGAAAAAGGAGGGGAGGGTATAGAGGAGGAGGACGGGAGGGCACGGAGGAGAAGCAGGAAAGGGTACGCAAGAGGAGGAGGGGGTACGGAGGGGGAGGAGAGGAAGTTACGCAGGAGGAGGAGGGGGGAGGGTATATCGCAAATTTGAAATACCTCAAGAGCTGCGCTCTAATTTCACATTAGAGAGATTTGTAAACGTCTCATTTTTTTCCCTTCACGCCCAAGCAGGATAGAAGGGTAAGAGAGGGCATGACGCCAGCCGCGTAGCCTCCACAAGCCATGCTCCCTTGACGCCTTGCCTCTTTCTCATTTTCCTCCTTACTCTCCTCACTTACCACGCCAACGTGACCACATCACGTGACCGTAGCTAGCCTCCGTCTTGCTATGGGGTACTAGAATACACCACAGTCTAGCCTTCGACCTGATAAAACCTACCGGACGGAGCGCGCACAAGCCTGCAAGGAGTCCTTCTACAATCAACCATCCATCTCACACGTGACATGTCACGCGCACCAATCGCCAGAGGGATCTACGGTCACGTTGGCCACAACATCGTTTAAACTTTTTATGACTAGGCTTCACCAATATTGCAACGTGCCCCCTCCTAGGGGTGGTTATCATTTGCGCCCGTTCTCGTTTCGCCCTTCTCACTTGGCCCTTCTCAAAACAACCATTCTCAAAAAGACCTTCTCACTTTGACCTGTCGCATTTGGCCCTTTCGCGTTTCGTCCTTCGTATTTCAACCCCCCTCATTTGGGCCCGTTCTCTTTTCGCCCTTCTCACTTGGCCCTTCTCAAAACAGATACTCTCATAAATATCTCGCTTTAACCGAGCACATTTGACTCTTTCTACCCCAAATTTGGGTTTTTTCGAGTAATATATATTCATAAATTCACTAATATTTTCTTTTGTGTGTGTGCCAGGCTACCGGCCTACTCTCTCTGCCAATGATTTTAGCCGTGCGTCGTGGTCGTCAAGAAAAGATAGTGCCTGACAAAAAAACAGACCAACTACTTATCGTAGACAGATCACATTCCGAAATGTCATCTTGTTTGAGGTGGCTCGACTTGTGACCATGCAACCACTTCTATATTGAACATACATGTGCTATTCCTGTTCAAACAGAGTTTCCAAATGTTCATCGTTCTTTCTTTTCTTTGCGTTCGTTTCGAGAAAGGAAAGCAGCTACGCGTCATTGTACAAATGCATTACGTTATCTTGTAGTATTTGTATTTTTAGGAGGTGAGAAGAGTATGTGTGTGCGCGTGGGGGGGGGGGGGGGGTTACGGGAGATGTTTGTCGGTAAAAGATAGTATCCCTTTCTTCAAATGCAGAAAAGTGGATTCGACCAAGCTCTGATGGTATGTTGGGTGCCCAAGCAAGGTAAGACTTTCGTACAAAGCCGGGAAGGCATAATGACGGCAGAAGCCTGCCAAGCTAGTCCGATTCGGTCGTAGCGCGAACGGGCAATATGAAAATACGCCCAATTGCAAAAAAAAAAAATCTTTTTGGATTTTTTGAGGCTGTTCCACCGAGGCGGACCAAATGAGAATAGGACTGCGCAAGGCTCAAATGCGAATGGTCCGTTTTCGGATAACGGGCAAAATGAGAATAGGCCCAGTTGAAAAAAACCTGATTCGGATCATATGAGAAGGTTCAAACGAGGCGGACCAAATGAGAATAGGACGAAATACGCAACGTCCAAATGCGAAAGGGACGTTTTCAGATAGCGGGCAAAATGAGAATGGGCCCAGTTGAGAAAAACCTGATTCGGATTTTATGAGAAGGTCCAAACGAGAAGGACCAAATGAGAATGGGACGAAATGCGCAAGGTTCAAACGCGAATGGGACGTTTTGAGATACACCCCCCTCCTAGTACTTCTAACCTCCTTGTTCACACCAGTGACGATGGTCGTGCAATGTTCAGCTTGCGTATTTCCGCAAGTCGTAAAGTTGCGTATTTCCGAAAAGTTAACTCGTAACTTTTAAAACTGAATTTTAGCAAACATATCTGTAGGACTGTGGATAGCGTTCCGGGCATGCGCAATAGCTCCCTTCTGGAAAATACTGTACGCTGCGCACGCGTCGGAGCTGCCGAGAATCAAACGACTTGGCACTTTTTTCCTGGCGCTGGAACGCTGTATGCGGAGCGCAAGTTCGTCTGCTTCTTGCGCAAGGCTTGCGGTGACGTCAGAACGACGCCGAGCTGTGATTGGCTTTGATTGAAAGGATGGTGGGAAGGCCTCGATACTAGATGCCTTGAAGTCAACCCAGTATAAGAATATATTTTTTTTTTCAGTCATCCAATCAGAGCTCGGCGTTCTGACGTCATCGCAACCCCTGCGCAAGGAGCAGACGAACTTGCGCTCCGCATAGTTCGCGACAGTTTAAGAAACGCAGGGCTGTTATCTTCACACCTTTTAATTTGCGCGAGCATGGCAAGCTCTCTATCCGCGTCTGGTGCCCGCCCTGGCTCTGCCTACTCCTACGACGCTAGCCATGTATTGTTGTGAAGCGGCGACCGTGGAAATGTCCCGGATGTACGCGGCGGCGCTGCGGTGGCATCGGCTGGAGGATCCGTGCGTTCCGAAGGCCTTCCACGAGCAGGTTTGACTTTGCGGTTTGTCAGCAAGAACTGGCTCCCGTTCGGATCTTTCCCCCGTGTCTTCCGCCTTTTATGTGCAATGAAGTGCAATGCCGGATCGACAACGACGACAACGACAACGCCAGTAGCACAGCAAATATACAATACGAAGCATGCGCAACTATAACCTACACCTTAGTGGCGCCATCTCGTGCCGTCGACACGAAGTGCGGTGGCCGTGAGCGCTCGCTGAGCTCACTACGCCTGCTGTAGTTAATTTTAACATCGCCAATGATAGCTTTCGCCGTAAAAGATAAAATAGGAAATTTTCTTTGTATTCTTATGTTCTACCGTGGAATACCTCGTATAATAGAAGACCGTACGCTGAAAAAAACGGGCCCAGCGGGCCCGAGCTCAATCCATGCTTCGAAGTGACGACACGAGCTTCCGCTAGCAAAGCGGGGCTCTTCAATACGATCCACTGAAAGTATCAAATATGACATAAAATGTGTTTTACGCATGTTTTTAAAGCGGGAAGCAAACTGGAGCTTGCGAGCCGCGTGCGGCTCTCGGTGGGTCATAGTGCGGCTCGCGGCTCCCTGGTAAGTGTGGTCCCCCTCCCCTCCTGTGTCCCTAAGACAAAAAAAGAAAAAAAAAGAAAAAACAGTTCTAGAATTAAAAAAAAAAAAGAACTCGCGGTCATGGCAGCCTTGCACTACACTCCGTACATACAGCTGCACGGCTTTTTGACACAGGCATGTGTCAAGTGACCCTGTTTCCTTTATTGCTCTAAAAGGAATTTGGAACCGTATACTCATAACGGGCGTCAGGGACAGTGGCTGGCTAGAGAACTGCATTATTTTTCGCTCAGCGGTCGAAGAAACCTTCTGCTGCCTAGTGTTATTTGTTGTAGTCGACAATTATACTTGCCCCCTGGGAAAGGACTATTCGCATTCAAAAGCCCCCCTACCCTTTCTTTGTCTCTAGCGGTAGGAAAGGAAATTGCAGAAAATGAGACGGGATAGATGAACAAATTTAAATTTTCAGTTAACCAGGAGGAAACTGAAAGGATCGCGAGCGATTAGGTGTAATCAGTCATATTATTTATGGAGCCAACCGCTTTCCTTCTTGTTATTGTTGTATTGTAAATTACGGGAAAAGGGAAAATGCCCGTGTGGAAATATTATTCTCCCGTGACGGGGACAAGACTCGCGCGGGCGGGGAAAAGAAGAGGTAATGAGCAGATGTGGTAATAAGGGTGAGAAGATTTTGTCGATGCGTGTAAGGGGCTTCTAATATCTAACTGCAATGGTTTGAGGTAATTCGTCTTTTGTAGGGGTCCATTAGACGCCGCCTGCCGGGTCTGTTAACTTATACGTCAATGTAGACACGAAAAAAAAAAAAGAAAACAGAAAGAAAAAAGAAAACGAAAAAAGAGAAAAACCTTACTCTTCTTGTTTAGCCCAAAGTTATCAGTAACAATGCGCGAGAGGGAAACGTTGCAAACAAGGAACAGTGGGGACCTTTAGAAAACCGTTACCGTATTCCGCGTACCGCACTACTGGAGCCATTGAAGCATGCTTTTAAGCGCGCGCCTGAGTGATACCGTGACCGCGGGGCACGCGCTTAAAAGCATGCTCTAATGGCTCCGATATATATATAGTGTGGTACGCGGAACGCGGTAACGGTTTGCTAAAAGTCCCTAATCTCCCAAAGACACGATGCAAATACTTCCGAAAATAGGGGAGAGTGGGAAGGAATGGGAGAGTTTATAAGTTTTTGTGTAGATTAGTACGCGCATAAAAACAAATTTAAGCGTTCAAAATGTAGCGTGAAAGAGCTTTCACATCAGCTGAACAGCACTTTGTCCCAATTCTCCTAGAAATGTGAGCTTGTTCTGAGCATGCGCTGTGAACACCCCTTAAAATATGGCGTCCAGGGATTACTCTCTATACGAACCCTACGAACATAACGATACCTTCCTAAAATTCCCAAATTATTTTAACCTCATGAAGTTATTTGACTGTGACATCTCTGAGTTCTGTCATTCGCGTATTACGATGCATGCATTTGGTCTGCGTCTATGTCGCGTTTACGTTCTCCATTCACTGTATTGTTCTATGAGCTTGACCGTATACTATGTTTGCCCCTAAGCTGACAGAGCGGTAAGAGCACACCGTAACAGTCAACCGCTTGCCTGTCATCAGCTCTGACTCCGCTTTCTGCGTGTGGGTCGTGGCGTGATCACCTGGCGGAAGATTGACATACGACTGGTCCACCGAGCACATAGCTTCCTGTGTCCTGCTGTCAGCTTAGCGGCAAACGGAATATAGACAAGTTTATCTTTAATGAGACTCACCGACAAGGTGGCTCATATGTTAAGGCTCAAGCTGTTGTTGTAATCATCAGATACAGAATAAGAAAAAAATATATATAATGCTTACGTCAACCACCAGGAAAAAGGCGCGCTGACAAGTGCGAAAACAAAAGTAAGACTACTCGATTCGGCCACATGTCGGCTCGCATTTAAATTTGTGTGATAATATAAAATATAATATATTTATAAAATAAAAAGTGAGGAATTTAAAAGCACAAGAGCTTTTAAATTCCTCACTTAACGCGCGCCATCTTCCTCGACCAGTTAACTGAAGAGCGCACGCGCACTAGAAAACTGAGCATCCCGAATAGTTTGAAAAGAAACCTAACGAGCCCGTTTGCATTTGTCCGTAGACGTTTTATTTTTAACAGCAGCAAACGCTACGAGGAAAGAACAAACGCCGCGCACGTACGGGAAAAAGCGAGGCCACCAGTCTCCGCCCTTTCATCGCAAAGCACATAAACAACCGACAACGCGAAGACCTTCTGAGCGCCACTCAGCGGGGCTCATTAGCAAGCAGCCTTGCAGTGTTCGCAGGAGCACGCCGACACACGTCCTCTCGATTCATTGCACTTTTGTGGCTCCAGTGGCAGCGGTAAGTAGGTGGTACCGTCGACAACCCGGGGCTGCGTCAGTTGTACGAAGTTGATGTCGAACGGCGAAAGTCCGCCTCTCGATGGTGTGGAGCCCAAAAAGCCCAACCAGCGCTCTGCCGTACAGTTTTGAGCCCACTTCCCGCACATGAGGTTGAGCAGCGGGATAGACGAAATCCTGCTCCTGGTGTCCACACACGAGTCGAACAGTCCGTTGGCGAAACTCGGCGTCAAGTAGTACTCGACCTCGGCGACGTGGGTGGTCTTATCTTCTTCGTTCACAGCCGTCTTGATCAGTCGCAGGAAGTCGGACTGCCTGGGCGAGCAAGACATGCTGCAGAGGAGCGCTCTGAAGTTGACGCTGCACGCGGGACAGTTGTCAAGTCCCAGGACTCTGGCAGACTCGAAGTTCTCGTGGAAGTCGTCTAGCTGATCAGCATCGCAGCAGAAAGGCTGACTGCTGTTGGCGAAGACGTCGCCGCAGATGCCCTCCAGGAGCGCCCGGGCTTCCGGTTTGTCGATGACTTGAGGTTCGCCATCGTACGCACAGGATCCCCTGATGCCGTCCTGGTCACATGCCCCGCGCATGATGCATTTCGCACCGTCGACTCTGGCGAAGATTTGCGTCGCCAGCAGAGCACAGAGTGCCACAACTAAGGTTCCCATTGTTGGTCCTTCCTTCCTTGAACGCACACGACCACTGGCGGTTTCTCGCTTGCTGCTTCCAGCGGTCTTGTGTACAGAAGCGAGAAGGCGAGACGCACGAGCGTTCCGCTCGCCTTCCGTCCGTCACGCGCTGTTTGTTTCCAACCAGTCCTACCAGTCTTTGCGATGGCGATGCACTGCGTCTAGACGCTCGTCCTTGTCGTCGCTCCAGGTGAAAGTGCGTCTCAGCTGTTTGCCTCGAACGTTTTATAAGCGCAGTTTTGTTCGAGGAAAACATGTCATGGTGACCTTTGCGCGCTATGATGTCTTAATGCTGGTAGATGCTACATCCATTATACGCTCCCCACGCTTTTGAAATGAGAGTCTGCTCATTGCGGAGACTACTAGGTAAAACCGAATAAAAGTTGAGTAACTGTAAACGGCAAGAGAAAGAGAGTGAGAAAAAAGTGAAAGAGAAGGAGAGAGAGAGAGAGAGAATTGTCTCCCCGCGCCTGATAGAAGGAAAACTCGAGAAGGAGTAGGCTTAATGTCCTTTCGGATACACTTTGCCCATCAGAGCAGCGAGTGTATCCAGAGCTAAGGTCTTATACTAAAGACATTCTTTTTTTTTTTTCATATGTGCTATTCATAAGGCCGGCGTTAAAAAGAAAATCTCAAGAGTGAAATTCATTTAAGTAGCTTTCATTCGAGGAGTTTTCTATCATGGCCACGAACGTAAACGCACATAAGTGAAGAAATCGGCTGACATCTCTCTCCACCTTCTCGTGATTACAGAAGAGGCAGGAATTTCACTGCTCCCTTTCACTTAATTTCGACCGCAGTCCACGCTACTATCTGAAGGAGCCAATGAAACGGCGCCGAAAGGGTGTCGTGACTGCGTTCATCACCTTTGTCGCACTCGAGGGCAAACGGAGTAGAACGAGCGGGCTAATGGACGTTACAAAAAATGTCGAGCACTTGCCACTAAACATCCTTTCCCAACATCATATTTTGACGAGCCGGACCTTATGTTTAGACCCATTCCTCTGAACGCAGGAGGATGTCAATTTCGCGGTGACCGCCAATACCCCAGTTGCTAGAAAGACAACACAATTAAGTACTGACTTGCATTGAAAGAAGCCGTTATTTGCCTAATTTTACCCGTATGCGATCGTACCTCCGTAATGCTTTAGTACACCGAAACAAATGATTCACTCGAGTACACTTGTGTAACGTCCCTTTTTGGTCATTTTTGTCAGGTCGAGGATTCTTCGCGACTCCTAATGGGACATTGCTGAATCATATATAATGCCTACTTAAGAAGCAGGAAAAAAGAAGAAGAAAAAATCGCTTCCTGAACAATTAATCTTTCCTATCCTGGTCCTCGTATCCACCCGATGCCGGTCCCAGATTTCCTGTAGTCGTTGGTTGTCGAGCAAATTTTCACGGAACGTTTCGAAGACGACAGGCAAGGGATGAAAGCTGAGGACGTAGGGAAACCAAAGATAAACGCCTCTGTTCTTGGAACGGTTTTTATATACCCGCACGTTCTATTCAGTTATAAGATTGGACATTCAAAAGAATACAAACTGCCTCCATTGCTGCTGCGTTCCACTTCGAAGCACGTACGCTTTTGTACAAACTGGCAATGCATTAGCGTTTAAGCTTTCATTGTTTTCCTAGTGAATTTGTTTTTTAAGAAGCGAATTGAAAACATCAGATCTCATCTAGTCACCGACACGTTAAGAAACGAAGGGCGTGGCTACTCCCGAGAAGCAGCCGATGAAATTGGTGAAGTAACCGATAAGGACGCCAGAGAGCGAAATACAACTCGAGAAGCATTAGCATAATAATAAGACGCGCCGTGCGTTTCTTAAATTAAACTTTCGGTTACTATGGTCTGTTGAAGCATAAAAACGGCAGAAAAGACTCCGGCAGCAAAAACGAGGAATGAAGAGAAAAACTTCGCTGCATGCCAGATCTGCCGAAGCAAACTAAGCATTATGTAAAATGCAATCGTTTTTTTTTTTTTTTTTTCGTGGGTGCCATATTTAGCAGAGAATCATGATGACATTAATCCGAGACTGGGGCTCGAAAATATTAAATTATAAAGTGGTAGAGATAAAAAAAGGAGGACGGACCACGTCTCAGATGTCGTCTGGTTCTCTTTTTTATCTGTACCAATTAGGTTTAAAGTGGCGGTAGAAAGGAAATGGTAGATAAAGTGGTAAGATGGTTGAGATTTGTGCCTCGGCCTCGGGTTCTTGTAATTATGGTAAACGTTCACCTGTTTGCCTATTCATTAGCTTTGTTTGAGCCCTGAACCATTGTTAGATTTCGGCACTTTTCGACCCTCAACCGCTTAAATGTTACCCTCAAAATCAAATTTGTTGACATCAAGATCATATTCCTAGCCACAAACGAAATAAGAGAAATATAAAAAATATCAGCCCTGCCATTTGTTAGCAGAGCCACAAACTAAGCCTCGAGCGAGTCTGGTTTGTCCAAAACAGTTCAGTAATTGAACCGGGGAAAGCATGATGAGCTATACTCGCCTTGAATGGATTGAGGACGGCTCCACGTTGACGAGCTAGACTCGACCAAAATAACTGAAGGGTTAAAAAAAAAGGCGATGGCGAGTGGTTCCCACTTTTTGTGACGTCAAAGAAATCGTGCGGTGACGCTGAGTGACGCAATGACGCCATCACTCTTTGTGAGGTGTTTATAGGACGCCACCATCGTTGGTCGTTGCTCACAGCACGTATGCCTTGAACTACACTCTAAAAAAATCCCGTGCGTCTGCTTTCCCGCACAAAACTCGGAAAGCCAACCACCGCAACTTACGGGCTCAGCTCAGCGAATGACGATGCCGAAATATATGTTAAGACCAAAAAACGCAGTCTGAGTTGTGACATTAAGCAATGAAAGAGTGACGCTTTGCATTGCTTAATGTCACAACTCAGACTGCGTTTTTGGTCGAAACAGATGTTTCGGTATCGCCATTTGCTGAGCTGCGTCCGTAAGTTGCGGTGATTGGCTCTCCGAGTGTTGTGCGGGAAAGTAGACGCACGGGATTTTTTGAGAATGATAGGTCCCGTCTATCCTCTGCCAAGAGGAACAATTCTAATTGTTTGAAGTGCACATTGAACGTGCATAATTGTGCGTTCCTCCCAATAAAGTTTCTTTTTTTTTTTTTATGTATGCGGCGCTGAAAACGACAACCGACAATATGGCGTCATATAAATACTCGCTTCTTGATTTCGGAGCTTAATCTTGTTTTTTTTTTTTTTTAATTCCTAATTATAAAGAAACTATAGTGTTTAAATCAACCATTTCGTCGTTTACCCTGAGACTGGGTTTTTTTTTGAAGAGCAGAAGTGACAGAAAAAACCATTTCGTCGTTTACCCTGAGACTGGGGTTTTTTTTTTGAAGAGCAGAAGTGACAGAAAAAACAGACAGGTCTCAAACTCAGCTATCACTAGCTGAGTTTGAGACCTGTCTGTTTTTTCTGTCACTTCTGCTCTCCAAAAAAAAACCCCAGTCTCAGGGTAAACGACGAAATGGTTGACTTCCACCAGCTAGCCTGTACTTTGACTCTTTTTTAGTGTTTAAATATCATTTTTAATGCCTGCAAACGCACGCTGGTGGCCCTGACACAATTTACTAATGGGTCAAGATCATTCTGCGCAGTAAAAGTAACCCCAAGATGCGCCTCTGTTTTGTCTATATGAACAAAAAGAGCTGTGTACATAAAAAAAAAAAAAAAAAGCTAATGAAATTTCTACTCAGAAACAAGTAGCATACACCACGCGGTACCAATTAAAGTGAATGAAGACAAAAACTTGTTTTACAGAAGCAGTCGTTGCTTTTATTCGGGGAAATCATTGTCAAGTCCGCGAGGAGATGAATTATTGTTGCCATTGTGTTTAGCGGAAACAACCTGCTCCATGTGTGCATCTGAAAAAAAAAAAAAAAGGAATAGAGGGCAATGCTGAAATACGTTAATTACTCTATTTTCAAACCGTGCGAGTTAAAAGAACCTCGTAGATGGAATCACCAGCAGAATATGCAGTATATAGTATATAAACTGAACTGTTTCCCTACCTGCACACCCTAAAATATCAGCTTGGATATAAAAAAAAGAGAACAAAACAGAGAAGAAACAAGCATGAAAGCATGGACGTACAATTTCGAACGATGTCCAAGTCCTTTTATGGGCTAAAATACCGAAAAACCTATCAAGAGTTCAGGGTAACCACCGTATCACCTTGATTATGTGAGATAATGTGAGGTCGTCAATATGATTTAGTCCATATTTTGATTCAGAGGTTGTTTTCTTTGTTTATTTTACGTAACCTGCGGACTCCCTCACCTTAATAAATTAGGATAGATGATTGTAGTGCTGTTTACCTAACCAAATAGCCCGCGAGTTAATTTTGATTCAATACTTTAGCACGAACGCTTCATCGATAACTTTTATACACTAACAAAGATTATGAAAGCGAAATAATTGTTATTATCTATCCCGAATGACTATCCGCCCTGGTGTTATTTCGAGTCCGTTAGCCTCAACTTACATAAACGGTTTTTAAAATTTAGAAGTGAACACCAAAAAGTGAACGCTAAAAATATCAGTAGAGAACATTTTTAAAGTTAATACCTTTTCCAAAATTTGTTTCGTCAAAATTCCGCTGAACGTAGGACGCTTGATCGACTGACGATGTTAGAGCTGTTATCCTATTACCGTGCGACCAGAGAAAGGAGTACGAGGTAAATTGTACAATAAGTCACCCTGGCTTCGTTAGAGCTAATCTTGTGAGTGGTTTAATATTTTTCATTCAATACTCTAATGAACCGCCCGTCACAAAAAACCTGAGTCCCGCACTGAAGTTTCACTGATTGTAGAAAAATATTAGTTCAATGTAGTGCCTCATCAAGTGATCATTCAGTGAATGTCATTGTAGCAAAACCAGGTAGTATTGGTCATACAATCATCTTGATTGTGCAAGCCAAGAACCTTAGTCAGAATCAGAAAATAACGTGACAGAAAAGGTGAATAGTTTGAACTATATAAGCACTCCTTTTTGATGTGTTTCTCACCTTCAAAGGCAATCCGAAATTTTATCCTGTCTGTGGGTGCACACGTCATTGTCTCTGTGAAGAAAGAAAGCATATACTAAGAGGTCACAGACAAATGAGGATGCCTCAGTACAAACCGGGCATTATTTTAGCCATATAGAAGCATAAGAACCAGAGTGTATATTAATACGTTGCGGTGTGCTTGATTATTGAGAAACTCGTTAAAATTACTTACGACACTTAACGGCGATTCCAACAACAGCCAGGTGAAGAGAATGACAGTCGTCACCTGACAAATATAAACCAGATCGGATTATGAAAAAAAAAACATTGTCCTCAAAATATCGCCTGGCCTCTCAAACATCAACATGGTCCAAAAAACATATTTTAGGGGTATTTGTGGTTTGAATAAAACAAAGCTGCGTAACCTCTAACATTTACAGTACAAGGAACAGACAGAACATTCCGGTTTTCTTTACAGTGTTGATGCCATGCTTGGCAAAGCGCTATGTGGAGCACAGGTTCGTCTGCTTCTTGCTTAGGGGTTGCGCTGATGTCAGAATGCCGAGCTCTTATTGGCTGATTGAAAAAAAATAAATAGTGGGTAGACCTCAAGGCATCTAGCATTGAGGTCTACCTACTCTCCTTCCAATCCAAGCCAATCAGAATTCGGCGTCATTCTGACGTCACTGCAACCCCTTCGCAAGAAGCAGACGACTTGCTCTTCGCATTCGATTCGAGGCAATGTCCACGCGTCCCTAATATCTTACTATTCTTTTTCTACGACACAGGAGAAATGCCATGATCTCGAAATAGCATAAGCAAAGGTCCGTCTTGTGGTAAAGTGTCAGCCTGAAACAATGCTCACGTATCAACTTCTCTATGCTGCACTGCTGCAGGTACGGTAGTTCGTCTCACATGGCTCACCAAACCCCACGAGGGCATACATCAGCCATGGGCCGCCCAGTCCAATGATAAAGCAATTATGAACTGCACGGTATATTGCTCTATTTCGCGTATTAGAGTAGCGTATAAGATATGGCACGGCACAAGACTGTACTGGGACGCTACGCATAGCACTTTACACTGCTAGAGTCACTGAACACCCAAGAAACAGGAGCACCGAGGATCTAATTATCATTCAGCAGCCAATCAGGTGGCAGTATGAGCCGATCAGAAGATCTGCGTTTCTTAATCTCTCAGTGAGTATCATCCGACGAATGTCGACGAATATGCACTGGTTTCACCTAAGTCCGAGTGCTGTTGACGCTACGAGTCGACAGGGCCAATCAAGCAACGCGAGAAGTGCTGAGTCACGGCGTTCGTGCGTTCGTCGTCTTTCCCGGGGGGGGGGGGTGCGGGGGTGGGGGTGGGGGTTCTTATTCCCGGCTAAACCAATGAAGCTTAGTGAATGCGTCATCATGACAGTTAACGAGGTTTGCTCTATAAACGTTTTTGACTTCAGTCCCTGCCAAGCTCAAAACGGCACGACGTCTCTTACGAATGCATTTTCCAGCACGCGTTCGTCGGCTTTTGTAGTGTCTTATTGGCCGAATCCTGCGTGTTCGAGGCTGAAGAGACACCAACGCGATATTGAAGATAAGAAGTTCACACTGTAGGTGGGACAACAAAAACTTCTCCCTGCCGTTCTCATTTTTTGAGTGCCAATAACATTTTACACTTTCGATGCCCTCTAAAGCTGCAGCCCTACGACAGCCCTCCTTATTATGTAAGATCAATCGCATTTGTAAAGTATTTTATAGAAAAAAGTTTACGGATCTGTCTCTAGGTCAGTATTTTAATCGATTGCATTGCAATCAGGATTACATCTGATAGCCATGACGGGCTTAATAAGCGACATGTACAAAGGCTAAGAACAAGGTACTGGTGCATCGCAAGATTTCTCTATTCGTAATAGACGGATGGTCATCAAAAACCTCGAAATAAATAAATAATGACGTAATACTTTGGAGTAACTCTCTTCGAATTTTCATTTGAAGCTCGTTTGAAACTAACACGTTTTTTCGCGAACGTTGTTTTATTTTTAAATTCACCAAAACTGAACTGTCTTGCGGCCTCGCGCCGAAATTATGTTCTTAAATAAAAATTGGCAATTAATATAGGACCATCTATTATCATAAAATGACTCACTTGCACAGGTGACTCTGTAGACGATGTCTGTTAAAAGGAAAGCGATAGAATTGATAATATTATCATCAGTCCAGCATATGGTGAAACGCCAAAAATGTGTACAAAAATAAATATTGCTCACGGTCCTCAAACGCAGTGTCGCATTCATCGGGTTTGAGGATCAAGAATCTAGAGGCTTGTTGGCACACTTTGATTATTCCATTCACAGCACTGATCTGTCATGAGAAGATGCGTTAAGGCACATGTTGGGACATTTTTGGTAACAGCAGAATCGAGTACACAATAAAAAGGAGTTACCTATTTATTTATTTATTTATTTATTTTACCCTCAGGGCACATGGCATTACGAGGGGAGTGGGAACAATAGTAAACATAATAAACAATTGGAACAAAATATACAATACTTAAAGAACAGGGAACATGAAATTGGCAATAGATGTACAAAAAAGTGCGTGGTCATTAATTGATGTGAGCGATGCAGATAAGCGATTCCAGTCTTTGGAAGTCCTGGGAATAAAAGAGTCATAATAAACGTTACAGTGGCAAAATGGGACACCGACTTTGTGACGATAATCAAGGCGTGCTGAAACAAAGTAGGGGGGTATGATTAGTTGGGATTTAAGCTGAGGAATATGGTGATAGATTTTATGAAAAAGACAAAGTACGAAAGACTGCGCGACGATGTGCGAGGCTTGGGAGTAACAAATTATCTTTCATTGATGTAACGCTTGCGGTGCGGTTATGATTAGCCATTATGAAACGTGCAGCTCTGTTCTGAATACCTTCAAGTGAATCAACGAGGTAATGAGTAGAGGGGTCTCAGATGGAAGCTGCATACTCTAGCTTGGACCTAACTAGTGTTTTATAGACAAATAGTTTTAATGATGATGGGGCGAGATAAAGGTTACGTTTGAGGAAACCAAGCATTCGATTGGCGTTGTTAGTCACATAGTTCATATGAAGTTTCCAGGAAAGGTCAGCACTTAAAATCACACCCAGATATATATGTTAATTAAGTTTTTTGTTTACCTTTATGCGAATATGCTCAATGCTACCGTAGTTTTCGGGGCTGATGAGAAGATAAATGACGCCGTTTTCGGGTACGTCACCCTCGAAAGAACCACCAATCCTTCCATGTTCGAAGCAACCACGGCAACCCAGCAATGCCGGCGCTGTGGAGTAAAAAAAGTAGGAGTTGTTTTCTTTCATTTTTCTTAAATTGAATCTGCAAATCCCCTGGGATTCATATGAACTCGAACATGTCAAAACTAAGAAATCGTATAAGCTGATAGAAATAGCCGTCGTGTAAAAATTCACTGGAACTTTATTGCTTGTTCGTTGAGTTCCAGCAGCACCTGTACGGCATTATTGCAAAGGACGAAAAATAATAGTATGCCTTTTCTGCATTTGCAGCGCAAACTGTCGTTTTATATAATGACTTTCAGTTCCTTGATTCTCCTAACAAAAACTAATTCTTGGACAGCCCTGTACTGGTGTTGCTGGTGCTGGCAATATTGCCAACATTGATGTTTGTGGGCGCATGATGGCTTTATTGTAAGAATTCAAATTCTCTATAATTATAGCCAGTCATAGGCCAAATTAATGGCCCCCAAAATGAAGTCTGTATACTTCACGGCAGGTTCAAAAAAGACAAAAACTAAAACGAAGAACATTTAAACGGTCATAAGCAAGCGTTCACCCACTTCAGGAATCAGTGTAGTACGGAATATAAGGTCTTCACTTTTTTTCATGTTTGCTTGAAAATTAATGTCCTGATTAATGCTTATTAGTAAGGTTCACTGTTTTCGGATAAATCCGAAAAAAAATCCCAATAACACTCGTCAGGAAAAAATTTCGTCAATGAGGATTTATCCGATAAACTCCTAATTTTAGAATTCTATTGTAAAAAAAAAAAAAATAGTATTCTACAAATACGCACGCACAAAAAAAATCTGGTCGTAAAAGAACTGTTATCGGTTCTTCACCCTCTGCCAATTTTGCACCCTAAAAAGTTGTTTATGTACCCCCCTGAAGCGGTACTTTGTTAAAAAGCTATAAAGGTTTCTTTTACGCTCCTTTCTTGATGCGAAAGAGTTCTTTATTGCCCAGTTGCCTTTCTAGTGCGCCAGGGGGCGATAGTGCTTGAGGCGAAACCGTTCTTCACGAGCTGAAAGAGTTCATGGGGCGTCGAGAAACGTTTCAAGAACGGATTCTTTTAGAGTGCAAGCTTGTTCATATCATAGGGTCTTTGGTGCTGAGGAGAAGCCACTCAAGTTTTCTTTCAAATTTCAAAATCGTTGCGAAAAGTGTCTACAGCTTATCTCTTCAAGGCTCGGTCAGGGGTGTCATTCTGTTTCTGGGTCAAAACAAAAGCTACGGTGCGGGTTTCTAATTTGGACAAGAGTATATTTGATTCTTATTGAAAAAAGTGATTGTGTTGTTTAACAGTGCAAGTTATAAACCTGAAGATTTCATTGCAGCTGAAACTTCTACTCCTTTTGCCATTTTCTTGGGTGCGTGCAAGCCCGGGGGAGGCTGGCAAAATGGTATCACTAGTAAACAAGTTTTCCAGCTATTATGTCCGTGAGTTTTTATATTTTGAAGTATCAAGGTTTATTGAAGCAAACATGTGTGCAAGGTTTGTTATGAGACAGTTAGTATTAGCAATGTCAGGGGCAGTAACGCCAAATCCAACTGAATTTTTTTTTATTTGATCTGGACAACTCTTATAAATTTAGAGCGAGATTTTGATAAACAAAAATAGGAACAAAGCGAAATTAATTTTCAAATTCCGGTAAACTGAACCCCCCCCCCCCCCATAACAAAAAATCAATTAACATAAAAAATATTTGTGTAAAAAAAAAAAAGAAATCTTCAAAGAAAAATTATAAAATTAAGTATATATATATATATATAAATTCCGAAAACACGAAGCCCTAGTCCTGTAGCTTTTTTTTTTTTTTGTATTTTAAGTTTCACAAGCTATGCCACTTACTGCTCACATAAAAAAAAAGAACTAACGCAAACGCGAAAAACACAGAAACAATCACTTACCTCGGCAAGCATCGTCAGCAATTACCTTGGCGACATTTTTGGCGGCCTCTTCGTTGTCAGGAAGTACAACAGTCCTGTCGTAAAATCCACCATCTAGCTGGCTACGTACAATGCTGCTAAGGGCCGTAAGGTTGTTGCCGACAGCAATAATAGACCCTGCATTTTTTCGGAGGTGGGTAGGAGAGAGTGGAAGAACAGTGATTGACAATCGGTTTAATTTTGGCGAGGTGTGGTAGAACTTGGTTGACAAGGTGAGCCCTATTCAGAAGGTGAAGGTCACGCTGTCGTCAGCCTATTTCGCACCCTACTTTGCTTAAAATTCATAGACAACGTCAGCATCCAAAATGTATCTGAACGTTATGAAGAGTGAACATTTTTTGCTGTACATAACGTTTTGTCTATTATACATGCCCTGGCTTTCACATGTCAAACTTCCATTTTTAATGATCACCAAAAGTATAAAAAGATTATTGTTTTTATTATTTTTGCTTTATTATTTCTTAGTTTTCTCAGCTGGTTTCTTTTTTTTTTATGGTTGTTTCCGTTCTTTACCTTAACTGCCTGCATATACCAGTGTCGTCTTCAGAATTTAGGTACAGAAGGAAGTTTTCGCTCTACAAATGCTTAATCGAACTCGCAAAATAGCCGAGAGTCACTGCATAAAGATTCTGCACGTGATCACCTACTTGAAAGGCTAGATTAAAAACTGAAAAAAAAAGCAAGAGGAAGAGAAAGAAAAAAAGGAAGAGAGAGAGAGATAGAGAGACAGAGCTTGCGAAATAGGAAATACTAAAGATAGGAGTAGGATTCATAGCCAAGGAGGAAAATGCATTGGGGGCCCGTTCTGTACGGAAGAACGATAAGGCTGGCGCCATCTGTGTTCACCGGTGTCAACAAGAAGGTACGTGCGTGTACAAGGAGGGGTGCCGGCAATTGACTCCGTAAGTGTGACGTCATGGGTTCAAACAAACCGTTGCTAGGGTCGTTGTTATGGACAAATACATGTGGCTAGGTTTCGCTACGGAAACCGGACCGTTCAAAAATCGGGAGTAAGATTTAAACTTCTAAAAATCACAGATATAGAAAGCTTGAATGCCATATATGTTTCGACAGAAGTGTGCGAGTAATCACTTCTTTCTAAAATATTTACGACTGCAACTTCCGGTCCTCAAGATGCCTGCAGCAGACGACGAATGCAAGGAGAATGCCGTCTGCCACACGCCCGCCGGCTAAGCCGGCGCCGGCGTCTGCATCGGGTAAATAAAGACGATATTCTGATATTGCATTTGTTTGAAATATAATGAGTTTCAGACACTTATAAGAATTCATAAGGGGTGCGGTGCAAAATATGGTTTATCGAAAGTCCGGGCGTCGATCGAGATGATCGCAATGCACCCGTTAGAAAAGCGCTTCAGGCGATCGGTAGAGATCCCAAATTTTGTTTGCGCACTCGCGCTATGGGAGGGTGCTTCGTGCCTGGTTGTAACCATCGCGTGGAGAAAGATTCTTGCAGTTTCTTTAGATTTCCGCAGAACCCCAAAACACCGGATAAAAAACATAATTGCGATAGACAATTTGCGATAAAAATTGCGATAGACATGCCATATTGTAATAACCTGACAACCTCAATAATAATAATAACAAACGACTTACCTCGACGGCGTACGATTTGTTTCTCGTGCTGGCCTGCACTACGCCAATAATGCACTTCAGTCGTCGTCGTAACTGATCTGCATGACGTGGCTTGATTTTACGGAATTTTCGCCCCTCTGAAGTAAGCTGGGTTCTTCACAGAAAAAAACGCACATTTCGGAGGCCTCTACGGCCATGGCGATGCACTTGCTTGGGTTGCTCGTTTACCGACGCAATTTAACGAAGACGCCCGCTGCAACAGAGGCCAGCAAATCTATCGTGTCGTCTGCTACCAAAGCAAAGCGGAGTGGAATACTTCAGAAATGGCTTTCATAGTTGCAATACAACGTTGAGATGACAAGAACATCTTCATAATTGGATATCAAGAAGTTAGGTTGCTTACAAAAAATTATTTACTTACTTATAAACGAAAATCTAGCCTCTAGTGGAGTCTCAATGCATTAGTCCATAGCAACGCCCCTAGCAACGGTTTGTTTGGATCTAGACGCCATGTTGTGACGTCATCACTTACGGGGTCAATTTAAGATTGGAAGCAGAGTAAAACAATATTCTGGTGAGATCCTGAACCACAGAATATTCATTAAAACAACCGAACATTTTGGAACTTCCTGTTATCCCTCCCGTTTTTCCCCCACTCCTGGTTTACTGTGTAAATATGTTTAAATTTCGCTCTTTTCTGAATAATTACAAACTTGTGTATATACTGAAGCGAATTTGTGGCTGTCACTGACAGCACCTCGAGAAACATAGGGCGTGGCCTGGTCAACTTCTCTTTCTCTCTTTTCTCTTGTTTCTTGGCGTTCTTATCAGACAATTGCGCAACCGGTTGGAAGCGATAATACGATGCTCTGGGTCGCGACGCCATGCGTTTTTTAAGCTCCGAGACGTGGGTCGTGTTCCAAAATTTACTCGATCTTACTCCAGGGGCCCTATGCTACACGGCGGAGCCAAGGGGGCGGGACAACGCCGTCGGCTGCGATTGGTCAGTGCCGCGCCGCTGACCAATCGCAGCAGACGGCGTTGCACCGCTTGGTCCCGCCGTGTAGCATAGGGCCCCAGGGTAAGGGTTTTGTACCTTGGCGTCCTAAAACCTACCCGCGTCAAGCGTTTTTGAATCTGTGTTGTCACGTGACACGACCCGCTGGAGCAACTCGGATTTATTTGGGTACTATTTGGATCACAGCTAGCTTACCAGCCTGATTCTGCAACATCCGCGGGACCAGTGGCTTCAATCTTTGAGTGGGTGACCGCAGGTGACCGTACTTGAAGAGGATCACTGTCTTCGAGTACATTAAAAAAAATGTTGTGAGAGTTGAGTTTTGCACGCTTACAATATAGTCAACGCAATGTAACCTCATACCCTAGTTTCAGGAGGAACTGTATATTGAGTTAGTGTCATAAAAAGAAAAGCAAACGTTTCTATCGACCTTAAGCAGAATTAGAGCAACTCTATAATTGTTTTAGAGTGGTTCACATTAGCCTAATTGTCTGAAAAGGTTTCGATATAGAGGCACTTTTCGAGGAAGGAGAACCGTGCTTTGCTGACCGGATAGATAAACTATGCATCGGAGGTAGTTCGAACTCCGTGATAATATGACGCTAGCGGTTTTCATAGAACGCGACAGTTTGAGGACAAGACGTTTCCTGGCTCAAAAGATAATTGAGAAAATAGGAAATTCCTCTATGAGCTGACGTCCACGTATAGAGGAGGCTATGACCTGAGCCGGATATCGTCCAAACAAGAACTGGCGTTGTGGAAGCTTGTGGGATTTATATCACTTAAAAACCGTTTTCAGTAAAAAAAAATAAAACAAATGTTGTTTTTAGAAGTTTTTATTTTATGAAACAGATGCTACAGACGTTTACAGTGTAGTTTCTCGTTTTGACGATATTAAGCTTATGTTTACGTCGGCTCATAGAGAATTTTGTTTTTTATAAATTATTTCTTGATCAGGTAACGTCATGCTCTTAAACTTTCGCGTTCTATCTCAACCACCACCGTCACGTTCTCACTGAGTTTGAGCTTTCTGCGAAGCATAGTTTATTTCCACGGCCGGAAAAAAACTGTTCTCTTTACTCAGGAACTCCCCGTTGAATGGGAGGACATTAAATATTTTGGTATCAAAAACATAACCGATCAGCATTTAGAAATCAGTCAGGTTCACTTCTACCCGGTTTCACGGGAAATAGGATCCTTTTCAAAAGTTCATCGAGCAACATTGATGGTCGCCATTGCTAGGGCACGAAGCGCGTGAATAGAACCGTTGCCTCGCCGAACGATGATGAAATCCTCATGTCCAATACATGCTAAAAGTACGTGCTCAAGCAATGGCGGACAGGCGTTGGCGCGGAGTTTTGAAAAGATTTTACTCAGAGGCCTTCTAAACGACTACCTTGAAAGGGATACTTCAACTAAATTTGATATGCACCTGTCGTGTTCAGAAATAGGCTGAATATGATCCATACGTCTGTAAACGACAATCGCACGTTTCTATTTTGAGCCTGATGTCTGTAGTGTTCTATTTTGAGCCTGATGGCTGTAGTATTGTAAACGGCTCGCTCTGGCATGCGCTCGGAGAGCAGCCAGCGGAGAGCACGTGACATCCGGCGCAATCGTGACGTAGTTTGTCTCAGGACGAGCAAAGCTGCGGCGAGGCTGACGTCGACAAGAGGATTGCAAGCAGGGAATCTGGCCGCCTTCATGTCTCGCTCGTGCGGGAAAGTGCGCACAGTTACACGCTTGCCGAAGCTACGTTCACGCGCGCACTGCACATACTTGCTCGCATCGGGCACCTGTATCACTACCTGTCAGTGTTCCTAGACGGATATTACAAACGAAGTTTTAGCGACATTCACCAGGTGGCATTTGCTAATCGTTTCATTCGCTTTAGAATTTATATTCGTGTTTTTTTCAACGAGAGATTGGTGTGTATGATGTAATATTCTCCCCTGAACACGTATCGACCAAGAAATAAGCGCCGAAATTTCGTTGTAGTATCCCTTTAAAAAATCGGCGATTGGCCTCGCGATCTCGACTCTGGACGTGCACCTCGGCGTGCACTGATTCGCGGATTTTCTGAAGGCCCTTAATGGTGTATTCGGACGAAGGAGTTTCTCCCGGAGGAGAGGATAAAACGTAATCGAGTTTTGACGTCGCGTGCACCGCGTCACGGATGTTCGCTAATCCCCCGAGCTTCAGGCCAATCTGCGATTGGCCTGAAGAATATCCGTCGTCCCGTCGGAGCGACGGGGCAGCCTCCTTTGTCCTCCTGCTTTTGGGGAAGCATCATACGTGATCTTTAAAGTGTGGGGTGCCTTTTTTTTTTTCTTTTCTTCCCTGCTTTTGTTTGATGGGCCCCCGAAGGTCGCAAGCAGGTTCGCGAAAAGAAAGACTCCGGTGACTCAACTACACGCTACTCCGTCGTGCGAATGCTCGCTTGAATTTTCTGCACCGCCAGGCTTCTCTCGGGTTTTTTGCCTTCTTGTATCTCTATGATGTACCCGGTTTTCTCCGGAGATAAAGATCTCTCGTGCGAATACACCATAAGTGTCTTAAAAACCCAAAGTTACAATGATGTGCCAGCCTATTTCCATCCGAAAACTTTCTGTAAGTACTGAAAATAAAGCTATTCAACGAATCTCACTCCGACATTTTAAATACATTTTATTTTTTTCGCATTCCGGTTTCTTCTATGCTATGCTAATATTAGTCCTAATCCTGTCATTCATGTCCAAACGTGGCAGTCTATTTATTGCTCACCTTTGAAGAAACTGCACGATCGTCTTGTGCGTCGTATTTTTCCTTGGACAACGTTCGTTGAAGGGATTCCAACACCACTGCTTCATTATCCGTGGCAAGTTCTGCATTGACGTGCAATGGATATCGAAAGTTCATTATAATTTATAATAAACTTCAGTTCGCATCAAAATAGCTAAACTAATCTGCAGATCAAGACGGTATATTAGGTTAGTAACTGAACGAAATAGAAAGAATGGATCCACGACGAAATTTATTTGAGAACACCTCGGTGTACTAGAGTAAATCTGAGTAAAAAGTAATATACCAAAATTAAATATAAAATAAATACTGAGACTTAATCGAGTGCAATTTATGCTCTGCTTGTTTTGTTTCTTTAAAGGAATATGGAAAGAAAATTGTTTGCAATTATTTCTTCGTTTAGATGCGATCTATGCTGCGCCGGCAGCTCAAAAACAGTAGTCTAGGGTAGTGTGTTTTGGCTGCCGGAAGAAAAGTGAAGAAAACTAACTTTAAAATGAATTACCAGATTAAAAGATTCGTCCTTGTGGCGGTTTGTGAAGCGCCGTCAAAATGCCGACATGCCATGGCCCTCCAAGAAGAAGTAGTGTCGAATGTGACTTGGACGAGAACGCTAACGTGTCCAACACATTCTACATGTTAAAGCTTCCACCGTGCTTCCACAACGTACATTCCACACCCTCAACAAGATCGCCGTTCTTTGCAAATGCTAGGTATATGAGCTTGATCTGAAGATGTGGGGCCTTCCATGCCACCCCCCCCCCCCCCCCTGTTACCTCCGGATGCTCTGTGAATAATGCACTCAAGTATTATGGCACCCAGTGAGTAGCTTATATACATAGCTTGCATGTGTCACCACTGCTGGGAATTGGCAGTTATTTCTACTTGCTGGTTCCCTCGATCTTCTGCGGTGGGAAACTAGCACGGTTAACCGGACGCTCGTGGCACATACATTACCAGCATGACCTCGATTGACGTTACGGTCAAGCTATGTATAGGCCATAATGCGTGCAGTCCTGGGATACTACTACTAGACGAGATTGTCACGAGTTGACGCCACCAAGCGGCAACGCTCGCAGCTACGGTAACCTTGGCCGTGCAGGAACTCTTGACGTCACGGATACTCAATGCGCTTCTCGCTGGCCAATTTTGAAGTGAGAGGTGGAGCTCGCTATGACGTCCTTTTGTTTCCGTATCCCTGCAATGGTTCTGATTAAAGATTATATAAAAAGGTTTATTATTCCAAGCTTCCCTTTTAATGCCTATTATCAATGCAGCAATAAGCACTTGCTGCAACTAGAAAAAGCGGCGCTATTATTTTTTTACGAGCTTACATAAATATGCGTGCTTCGTGTATTGTGATTCTTTGAACTTGCCCGATAGTTTGGCTGTCTTGACGTAGCAGCTCACGCTGGAAGCCGAGGACATGTTCTTAAGTTGCTCTTGCAACTCTCCGTCAATGTCTCGCTTGTTGATGTACAAATGGAGAAGCCTCCTGACGCCCTTACCGAGATTAAGATAGTGCGCGATGTACCTGTAAAAAATAGATAATAAATCTTGACAAGCATTGCATTGTTAAAAACGTACAGCGCATTTCAATAAATAGAACCAAAAAGGAGATATTCTGTTTGATAGGAACACGGGAAGAAATCGGGTTTAATTGAAACAGTTACGGGTCAGAATGTACTACCTATTGATGATCGATGAACGTAACAAATGTAACAACGAAACTACAGGTTATCTGCATGTTCATGGTAGATCCTGGCGCATTCCTCTGCTATTTGAAACTTTCAAACGACATTTTTCAATGATAATGACCAGCTTTCACAAATAAAGTAACAGTTTCAGAAGTAAGTGTACCGTGTTGTGTGCACAGGAGCCTTGAGTTCGGTGGGAAACCTGATTTTTCTCCGATTGTTATTTTCTTTGTCCAGGCCGTATTTAAAGATTTAAAGTGTCCTAACGGATTAGTTTTGGAACGTAGCATTTTATGTTATTCTTCGTCTTACGTTAGCTCTCAATAATTCTCGTTTAGTTTCATTTATGTCTAGTAAAAAGAAGGCCCTAGTCTCTCCCTAATGACAACCCCATAATGATAACCATAAGAATAAACAGAGCCGGTGTGTGTGGTTCACTTTAGTTTTTGTTTTTATGCCGGGTTGGGTTGTCATTATGAACTTAGTTCACCATGTTGCCCCGCGTTTTTTTCACTTTCTTCATAGTCTCGTCAAGCTGCCTTTTACTTTATCCTCCACTTAAACAGCATCATCATCTTTATTATCACCTCTTTTGTTATTGTTCTCAGATATATTTTAATATTCGTTCATCTCTATGTACATTTTAAATGTTCGTTTATGTAACGTTGATACATTTTATGAAGTACTCTCCACCCTCATTACTAACTTCTTGCATATTTTGTAGGGCAACGTGACACCATCGTGCACTTGATTTGAATATGTGCGACAGACGAACTACGTGCGTGCCATGATTGACTCGGCCTGTAGTCTGTAACGCTCGAAGTTCAACGTTTGACAAGAGGCTTCTCAATGACGTTCACATCACGTCCGTTTACAATATCCTGAGGTACCAATCATAGGCTCAAGGCAGAGGTTGGTGTTTCGAGACTATGTGCTATTCTTGCCGACTAAATAATCGCATGCAAACTTATGAGAAAAAAAATAAGGCACTCCTTTGATCTACGGCCCGTATATTCATAATGCAGAATGCGTTATTAATATAGAAGGTGTTTCTGAGGACGCGGGCCAAAGTGTTCCTGCGTAAAGTATACAAATCCTAGAGAAAAAAAAAAGGCTGATATATTGACTATTGTTGAAGGGCCCATTTGAGGGGAAAAAATCACGTTCGTTAAAATTAGTTTAATATTTACTTTCGAGTAATAAATTTTCAATTAGTTTAAGGTTTGGTTTTAATCAGAAAATTTCTGGGAATCATTGAAAACCACTGAATCATCTAATATCTAATTTTATAAAGATATGAGGCACTAAATACAAGATGAGCGTGTTGGTAACAATATACACCATAAGGAAGGTGACACAGAGAAAGGGACGGAAAACCGTTGACTTCCAAGTCAGTGTAGTCCGTCCCCTTCTCTGTGTTACCTTCCTTCTGGTGTATAAGGTGTGCAGAGTATTTTACGGTGTTCCGGAAAAAGACTTAATTTGGACGCGTTTCTAGGTTTCAGTTTCCTATAGAGCGCATCGTTGCGCCTGCAATACTGCACCCCCCCCCCCCCCCCTCCTCCCACCAGTGGCTAAGGCGCGCAACTCATGTGCGCCACGCTTTCTTTTCTGTAAAGGCGAGGCGGTAGGCCAGCGCCGGGGCCACGTGGGGCCAGGACCGCTGGCGGAACGATGCTCTCCGATAGGAAACCGAAACCTAGAAACGCATGCAAATTAAATACAACATATAACGACCTATTGATGCACTGAGATCCCTGCCAATTCGACAGCGCTAAGATTGTGGGAATTGTTTTTAGTCTGGTCCGTGCAAACGTCCAATTGGTCCTTCATGTTTAATAAATTAAAGCTCGAAATGAAAATAATACAAATTTGACGTTCGTTCTCTGTATACAGTCTGCGGTTGGTCTGTCATAGTATGGCGACACCAGTTGAAGCTGTAGATAAGAAATTCAACCTTTGCAGTACGACTGCTACCTTGTGTCTGTAATGTGCATCTGTCAGTAGGATACACGTGAACACGTCGGTACAATGACACAAATACAAACGGACAGGGGTGGGAATAAAGCTTGAGATCCCTGGGCTCATAAGCACTAACTTTCGCTTCACGTACACCGAGCTGCAGTGCGTTAACATACTCGGCCAAAAACGCACATGAATTCGACCACCGTCCGACTTTAGAAGTTTGCCACAAATATGCATTCTGCTTTAAATGTTTTACCTTTTTTTTTTTTTGCAGGTTTTGATCACACAAGTTGTCCGACTGTTTTTAAAAGGCGGTTAAGTATCGCTTGTAGTATTATTCTTTACATGTATTTACTAGATATTTCTTATCAATGGGAAAAAAACAAAGAACATACTCGACAACTCGTCTCTGCTGGTCGATCCATTCTTTGTTTTTGGACGCGTCTGCATCCATAATGATGTGGATGTCCCCTGGCGTATAGCACTGTGCTAGAAGGAATAAAAACGCCGAAAATTTATTTCAGCGATTGGTTTTAAAGTCTGTGGGTTCTCCATAAAATCAATATATAGAAAGAGCACAGTTTTGTTTTTAATGACATACCTTGTTCCGGAGTCAACGGGTATCGATCACAAAATGTTGGATTTCCTGGAAAATATCGTTATTACAGATCCATAAGCTCATAATAAGGAAACTCTAGCGTGGGTTGTAGGTATATAATTAGCGATATTTTGATCTTTTACTTTTTTTTATTGAATAAAAACTTATTAAGTGAACGATTTTCTTTTTGCAAGTACTGATATAATTTTTGAAGACGGTATTTGTGATTGATTTGGTCAAAGTAGTCCCCGTACAAAATCAATACGTGCAAGTTTCTGTATGCCAGGTCCGCTTACTGAGTAGGTCTCTTCGCAGCCTCTGAAGGAACTCTTCTGCGGTCATGGCGACGAAGAGGCCCAGCCTTGCGGAGCTCTGCCCGTAGCGAAGCAGCGAGTACGCCTGCGCGAACTGGCTCACGTTGCCTTCGAGGTGACCGTCGCGGAGGTGAGGGTACAGCAGTTCCCTCCGGCTGCACACAGACAGGTTGGGTATTCCGGAGATGGACTGGGGGACGCCCGAGCTGCCGTAGTACAGACGCATCAGTTCGCTCAGGGACACGTTCTGCATCGCCGTTTTTCTCGTGTATTTGGCCAGGAGAAAACCTGAAAAAAGAAGCAGCTCTTACTCGTTATGTTTTTATAGCTGAGCTGTTAAGGGCTAGTTTCCCCTGGATCGTGTCCCCCGCAGAGAAATATCGACACCGAACTCTGGACACCTACCGCCATCTATGAGCGACGGCGGCAAGCCACGTATCTGATTGCCGCTGTCGCTCATAGATGGCGGCAGCCATTCCACTCTGGCTTGCCAACTTTTTATTCTTATTTCGGAATGATGCGCCTTTTCAGCGGCCACCACACAGGCAAGAAATGACGAGTCACTGGGCTGTGCATGCATGCGTGGCACCAGATATTCCACAAAAGAGAGCTACTGCGAAAGCTCAAACTGCTTTCCACTGGCCAGGAGACAAATATGGCAGCGTGCAGAAGGAAATTATTACGTCGAATGACGAATAGGAGCGAATACAAACTGTACTTATATGTAACTCCAGAAGGAGCCCGAGCCACCCAAAGGAAGATACGTAAAGAAGAGGAGCGGGGGGCTACGGCCTATCAAGGTATACAGCAAAAATTACCGTCGTTTGGCGGCCGAAATGTGAAACAGAGCGAAAGTAAATGCACGAGGTTGGAGTTACCAATATCCGGTAGCGCCTGCTCAGCTTGGGGTTATTATTTTCCCTAGATCATTTCTGAATATAATCGGTGAATATTGCTTTGTGTATGTTTGTTGAAAGTACGGTGGCTTTTAGTATCCTTTGAAGTGCTGACTGGAATTCTAAAAATTTTCGAAATTGGGTTTTCAAGATAGTGGAGCGTTTTAATGCGAAAGCATAAACTTGTCCCATGGCGCAGCCCACGGCGTCTGTAACCTCAAAAGCGGCATTTAAAACCCCGTAACCGTGAAAAATGGCACCTGAATTGGCTGCGACGCGTCATATCAGGCTCTTTGTCACAGAAGCAGGCGCGGCTGCTCGAGGTCAAAGCGTACGGGCCTCGGAATTAAAACACACAAAAAAGCACACCAACGCAGATGCTTTGTCACGCAAGCCGTCGTGAAGCCGGCAAGGTTCGCCGCGCCTGCGCAGTGGGGGAGCGTGATGCCACCAGCCCGCGCCGTGTGCAATAGGAAAACGTGGCGCACTTCTTGTCGGAATGCGCGGCATGTAGGAGTGCTTTCGCATTCCTACACGTGAGCAGTTTGAAGTGTCCCTGCCGAATTCTTTTTTTAACTGTCGATGATAGGGGGGGGGGGGGGGGCGAGATTGCAAATTAGAAAGGACGCATGCACCTTCGCTTAACGTTTTATGTAACAGAAAAGTAGCGTAAGACCTGAAGTTTTCATCAGTGACTGCTGACATTTTTGGAATATTTTGTTTGATTATAGGAGAGGCATCGCTTGAAAATCACAAAACGTAATGTATTTGCCTGCACCTGATACTCAGTTCTTCGTTTCTAAAATACTTTAATGGTGTGGGTTATTACATGATGACTGCTTCGTGTCACGTGAGTCTGAATTTTCCAAATCTTGTATACGACAGACACCGGAGGGAAGGACTCGAGGTGGAATGTTCTTAAAGGGAGACCCAGCAATCGTGCATGATGAAATATTTGTTCTGCCTTCAAAGCCAGAATGATGACGACCTTGTTATCGATCATACCCTCGCGTAATCAAATCAATTATTTAGGAGTCTACTTGCCAAATTAACGAAGGGTCTGTGGTATTCCCCAGTGAAGTACACAGCTAGGATAAATTCATACCACCTGGACGTCTTTTGACATGCAACCGAAAGCTGGGTTACACGGCACTTTCTCCGCAATAATCCTCCGTCAGATTGCGGGCAGCTTCACGGGGATTCGAACCCGCCACCTGGGGACCTGCAGGCACGGCGCTTTGTCTAGAACTCTTGTCTAGCCATAATCTTTCTTTTCTTGCTGTATTGGTGTATTAATTACTGACTGTTGTACTTCAGGCCCCAGACTAGGAGCTGTACAAAAAAAAAAAAAAAAAAGAATCACTTTCTACAACAAAAACATGAAGCACACGAAATATCAAGTTAGTCTGAATGCCTTCCAGCTGCATAAACATCTATAGAAGAACCCGTAAAGTAAACGGCGAATCTCGGTCCTAAGGAAACAGCCTTTATTTGTTTTTGTCGCGTGAGCAGAAGAGGTAAATCTCGTTCCTACATCTAACGCTGTCCCGTGCCAGGGTCTCTGGCCGTCTCGGCCGCTTTTAGTGCCGTGTCGGTCCCATGCCGCATTTGTTGACAGAAGACGCGTTCGCGCTCGCTCACCGTCTATGGCGCCGCGCAGCAGGCTGTAAGTGCTCCACTCCTGCCTGGACTTCACTTTGTAGCGAGCGGGACAGAAAGTGCCCGACCAGGCTCCCTCGTGTCCGACGGTATTGCCGACGTGGCGTTGGAAAGAACTCTGCACCGCCGCCACTCCAAGCACGGCTGAGGAAAACGCAAATGGAGCGAGATGAAAAACATTTGCAACATTCTGGTGATGAATGGAGTAACTTTCTGACAGGTCTCGGCTTTCGTGAGAAAAGAGAAATGGGGATTGCATACAAACGAAAAAAGAAAATGAAAAGATGAGTAGAGCGAAGAGTGAAAGAGGATACAAGAAAAGAAAATATGCATACGCGAATGAAAATGCTTCTTCGATCCCTTACTGTATACGGTAAAAATAGATCTTGGCGAAATGGATGGGGATTCTGGGTTTGCGCCGATTTGTTTGTCCAGAATTCCGTATCGATCACGATGATCTGTGCTTCGCGTGCTGAGCAGGAAATTCACATTTATAATATGTATAACACTGTATCCCGTCCCAAGAATGTGACCTGTATACGGTGTCACCTACGCTCACCTAAGTTTTCAAAAAATGAACGTGACACGAACAGATCAAATTCAACAGCGTCCCGAGGTTTTGACGACCATGTGACGACCTATGCCCGTTTTAAGGACTACGAAACTCACCACCGAGCGTTACCGCATATTGGGGGTCAATAGCCAGAGTTGGTTCAGCCGAGACGACTTGACTTTCTGGCTGAAAGTCCGTCAGGTTGCCGCTTCGGCTTAGATTGGCAGAAAGGATTCCCCGTAGCACTTTGGCGGGTGCCACGGCCAACCTGTCTGCCTGCCAGTTGATGCGAACGACGCCTCGCTCAACACTAAAACTCTCGTTGTTTCTGTAGAGCGCGCAAAAAAACAACAACACACACACAAAGATGAAACAGGCATACTAGGTTGTTGTTTTGTAGGGTTGGATTATGAAGTTGAGTCGGCCGAGCTGCAGATAATTTCGATTAAGCGTGGTAAGCCATAATGTAATCGATGCTACGCTAGTAAAATTACTTTATTGCTGCAATTAGTAATGTAATTCAATGCCTCGTGATGTAGGTAATTGGTTCATACAATTTATTTATTTCACTCCTTTAGGGTAATAACTTCAGCGGTATTCCTTTACTGTTAATTTTTCACCCCAGAGTAATTTCACAAATCGCAAAATTTTCGATAACATAACCTGAGGTTTTTGCAGTGGAATATGGTACTTCTTTCTTTGAACTCATTTAACCTTCTATTTATGGTATGTTCAGAAATATTATGGTTGTAAATGGGTCTGTTTACTAAATCGTAGTGAACATATACTCAGAACTTCGGTACGATGAATGTTTGTTGAAGAGTTTTTGAGAAATCTTGTTTAATTTCCTATAAACTGACGGCACCACTCTAGTTTTGAATTTGCATTCGCTAGACCTGACGTTCAAAGGAATCAATTTCATTTTATAAATTTGCGAGAAAAAAAATACTTGTCCCGCACCTTTCTTTTTGTAGTGCATGTGACATCATGAGGAACATCGAACAGGTCTCGCTCCCCGTTAGCACATCATCTTTCCATTCCAAAGGCATTCCTGAACCCAATGGACGAAGAATTTGCCATTCTAGGGTTGTATGTCCTTTGTCAACCTGTTGTGAGATCTGGAGTTCACTGGGATTATATTCATTGGTCGAAAACCTGCAAAAAACAAACACAAAAAAAGACGTCGTATTTGATAAATACGGAAATGGAAGAATGCAACATAATGCAACATTTTGTTGTAGTACCTTAAAAGTTTGAAGCGTTTGTTGCATCAAAGTAATAGACCATATGCTTAACGAGCTCGTTCGAATTCCTTTGTTGCTTTTACTATGGTGAAAATGGCAACCTTGTTGGAATAACTACCGTATTCGCTTGAAATGAAGGTGTCCTTCTTAGAAAGAAATCCTATGCGATCTGCATTGCAGCACGGTATACGTAACGTTTAGAATTTACAAAAAAAAAAAAAAAAAAGAATCAAGCGACTGAGGTTATTATAAAGCGTAAGAATGCGATTTGCTCTCAATGTCCGAGCCACTTTTTGGTGGCTTAGAAAGACTTCCAATAAATATAGTCGCCTGTTTAACGTCTTTAAGTCCTGACCATTCAAATAAATTGGAATCAACAAATTCTTTACCCACGTTCTTTTTCTTTTTTTTAGGAGGTGCTTAAAACCCAGTACTAAAATAAGTAAAAAAACCTTAATTCTACGAGCTCCAAAAATTTATTATTTGCAAAATTTGGTTTTGATAAATAATAATAATAAAAAATACTAAATACCACCTACCAGTGAAGAAGTAAGGCTGCGATGTCAAACATGTTTTTACTAGGGTAGCCCGCCTCTATCTTCTCCAACAAATCCAGAAAGTAATCAAGCGTTACCGACGCTTGATGCTCTTCGTTTCCTAGATATTCCATGGAAGTGTAGTTGGAGCATTTGGAAGTGAGCAGGTTTTTAAACGCTGATGGATTTCCGGTGACGCGATTTGTGTTCGAACGTTCTTCGAGGTTCAGAAGCATACTGTTCTCCTCTTGAATAAAATCAACTGAAAAAAAAAAAAGAAAGTGAAGTGCAGCATTCGGTGAATAAATGGTTAGTTCAATTTTCATCTTTTTTTTTCTTAGAAAACGCATCCGATTATTAGTTAGCCGAAATAACAATTAAATATTAGCTAGATCATCAAACTATTATATGAATATAGTTCTGTGCAAGTGTAAAGCTTGATGGCGATTTAAAGTTTTCTGAAGACGAAAGCGCAGCAAGATACATGTAGCGAGGCATGTAACCTTTATTCGTAAAATATTTCCCTCTTCCCAGTTTTTGGGGGGTTACTAACGGGGCCACACAGAACGTTACTTATCTTACCCTCATAGCTAACTAGCACGTTATGACAATTAGAGAAGAAATTTGGCTATGCTGTCATGAATATCGCGTGGAGCACCTAAAAAACGTCAAGAACACAAAGATGAAGAAGGTGGCAATACAGGGCTTAACTATTTCTTGGTGTTATTGAGAACACATTTTGCCATTGATTACGTTAAAAATAAGGATATGCATGCATTTGTAGTTGACACAGTGCTATGGTCACTTTGTGATTCTTGGATCGTTTAGGAGTTGTGAGTAATGGCGGACGGCAGGTATTTTGAGCAGTAGATATAAATATGCATTGTTCGACAATACTATTTGTATGAACGCTTATGATGCCAGAAAGAACATCATCACTCACTTTCATAAGTAATGGTAATCTTTGTTTGGTCCGGGTAGCGGCATCCGGAATCTGGAAGGAAAAATCACAAAAATTAACTCGCCTTTAATATAACACAAAAACAACGAATCAACAAAGCGATGTTTTTAATAAGGGTTAGCTGCGCACCAGTGCATTCGATGAACGCATCCCCTGCTTTTCTGGGCAATGCCTCAACTGAATAGTAGAGCGAATCACAGGTGGACGACTCTTTGGAGGAACAGAGACTTCGGAGGTTGTACTGGATAGCCTTGGCTGGAAAGTAAAGGACCAAAGAATCTCATTGAATTGACCACGCAGCTAGGTAGAAAGGGGCTAACCGCAGACCACCAGAGAGTTGCTAAGGTACCTTTATTTCCCGTTTCTCTGCAAAAGTCACCGTGGAACGGAATCCTCACAGAACTTGTGTTTTGCCGGTCAAGGCAGACCCGGATTGGTAAGTGGTGCGTCTCAATCTGTAATAAAGCCATCTTTAAGTCATCAGTTTTCGACACAAGTAAGAAATAAAAGAATGGCGATTGTTTGTGCATTTGATTATGTAAAAACATTAAAGTCGTGAAGGATACTTTGAACATTAATCTGTCAACCTAGATGATTAAAGAAATCTGGTTGAATGGTACGTGGTTTTGAAAGGCAGCAATTGAAGTATGACGTTGAAATTTTTCCAATAGAGATACAACCATGTGGGCAACAGAAAAGTATGCCTGCAACTTCGTTGTCCCGGACGCCATATATGACTATATTTTGTTTCTACATTTGGTTAGCAGCATAGAACATTGTCATGCCTTAACTGTTTTTTAGTTTACCCTTCCAAAAATCACCGCAATTTCGTAATCACTTTTGAGAGGCAGAACACTGTGCTTTCCAATATCACGAGGTAATACCAACAATTAAAACTCATCTTTCAAAACCATTACAGTGCAGGCGCTTATTTGTCACGGTCATTCTGTTGCAGTTAAAATGTTGATTTCGCAAATTTGGTGCTTTCCAGTGAAGCGTTTGGCTGTATGGTGTAAGAAACTATGCTACCAAATTGCAAGGAGGGAAAATACGCAGGCGAATGGGACTGTTTGTTAAAATATAGACATACTAAAGCGTCATTTTACCGTCACGTTCATTTCAAGGGGGACGTTCTTGAATGTACTTGGGTAGAACGACCAATGTTTGATGGTTAGTGGTGTCTGATAGTCTTCTAGGCTGTTGTGGACATGGCTGGTAGAGCTGTACATGCATTCTTGACAGTTGATTACTACTGGAGCTGAAATATATATGTAAATATAAATTCAAAGCCGACAACAAAATGCATCTGAGACATACTAGTTTGCGACTTTTAGGTTTGTTTTCGAGTATAACCCGTCATTTCAAAGAGCCGTCATGTCTGGTCAGGCTTTACATCTCTATCGTGCGTTCGAATTTGAAATTTGGCTCTTCTAGCTTGGAACTGTCTGGAAGTAACCAGCTCTGATATGCTAGAACGTGTGCAGAGAAAGTTGGCACGCATTCTGCACGACCCTTATTACGGCGCCCGGTTCTTTTTTAGCTACGAGTCAATGTTACTTTGGCTAAACTTGCAAGCTCGCCGGAATTTTCGAGATTATGCATTTTTTTATAAAACTGTACATAGCATAATACGTTGCCTTAGACTTGTTTCTCTGCTTTGTATGTCCCCTCGCGTGAACTGTCGTCACCAGAACATGTTCTACGTGCAAGGCGTACGTGTGTTCACCTTTCCCTCATTTTACGGATTCGGAGCAATTTTAATGCACCGAGTGCGGAGCAACGAGGCAGAAGGTTGGCCGAGTGTGTCAATCATCTTATAGGCTAAAACAACGCAAAAAAAACAAAAAAAAAAACGAGGTACAAGAAACAAGGAGGGCAGAGACACAACGCTGTGTCTTGTTTGTGCCTTGTATTTTTTTTTAGCGCTGTTTTACACTGTTTGAGTGCGGTGGCTGACATTTTCTGGAGTCAGCGGCAGGCACGTATCCGGGGGGGGGGGGGGGGGAGGGGGGGAGGCATGGGGCCCGGCCCCCCTTCCCCCCCCCCCCCCCCCCCCCCGGCTCGGAATCTTCCATTTCGCTGGGGCTTTCTCCCCCCCTCCCCCTCATACAGCATTTTGTCATGGGCACCCCCCCCCCCCCCCCCCCAACCCCCGAATAAAAATTCTGGCGACGGGCCTGGTAAGCGGGATTTTGAAAGTGCACTAACCATTCACATTTACTAACACCAGTGTTCTTTTTTTCTGTGTTCTAATATTATTTTTTTATGAAAGTGTATGTGTGTTATGGGTGTGTACCAGTAATAGGGCCTCGGCTGTTTCTGGACACAAAGGAGGACATAAGACAAATACACACTAGTCAAAGGTTCTACGAAACAGGTTACATAGATCACAAGCAATTTAGTTCACCTACCTTGACAAACTTCCTCTGTGAGTTCGCGAGCTATTTGTTGCAAAAGCTGCTCGTCTATAAAATTTGGAATCACTACTACCGCATCTTTAGGATCGTTCTGAAAAGTCTTCAAGATGTCAGTATTCGGTCCCACGGCAAAGATGATCAAGTCTGAAAGAAAGGGGCGCGCAAAGTCTTCTTAGTAAGCGGCCATAATTCATTCGTGAATTAACGATAATATAGAGAACGGGGAGATGTTTATCTCTCAACCTGTGTTCGTATGCCCGTTGTATATAACCACACTGTCACCTCACACTTGTATAAGTTAACTAACACAAATATAGGCGAACTGCTTTTTCTTACACTAAAAAGAAAATCATAATCAGGCAATTTCTTTAACTATATAGCTGCTATTCGTTTCTTGCTTGAGAGGTGGAATACACACTTTTAAATGTTTCTGTTATTGTAATCAAATTGTAATCTAAACAACTTATCTCACAGGAATAGCAGAATGCCGTAATCGCATTGCACCTCTGTGTGTCCTCCTGAGGTCTTGCACCACCGCATGGATGTCATGGGCGCTGGCTCTGAACGAACTAAATTTGAAGTAGACAATCACCTGAAATGCACAAGATCCTTGAATGATTAGAATAACTCCTTCAACTGAAAAAGCGCAAATGTTATGAACACAATTCGACTGGTTTTAATCTTGTCACCTTCGACGGGGTTAGCCCGTGGGCGGCACTTTTGAGCGAGTGTAGCGCGTTCCAGGAATTGTTGACAGCGCGCCAGATGTCCACTTCCGTGCACTGCGAACAACCTGGAGAACCAAGTTGAGAAAATTACGAGCGTAAAGTACGTGCTGGATTTACTTTCTTTTTTCCCGCAAGAACATAAAATTTTGTACAGCGAATGACGCGAGCCTTTGTGCTTTAAGCTTCGCTTTTTTACTTTTAAAATGCAAATTGTCGTTATACTCCGTTCACCCCTAAGCTGAAAATATGTTGGGAGCTACCTGCCCGCCGGACCAATCAGCCGCCTCCCTCTTATCACGTGACCCGGCTTTCCGCGCGTGGGTATTGCCGGAAGCGTGTTGACGTGGCGAAAAAAAAAAATTATGACTGGCCCAATGAGGGTGTAGCTTCCACTGCAGTGTCAGCTCAGGGGTGAGCGGAATATAGTGTTTACGTTCCTCACACTGTTTTCATCTTTAATCTGTTTGTAACGTGTGTGTCAAAGTTATACATTAAAATTTCACGTGTGATTGTAAAAAAGAAAAAAAGTAAACTGCAGACAAATTGAAGTTGTGTTGGCCGCGAACTGCAAATTTTAGCAAAGAAGTTATATATCTCGCGGGGAATTACAACATAGGGTAGAACATAGACTGGCCCAACGAGGTGTGGTTTTACTCCATTGGAAAGTCTGCTTATATTTGTATTCCTATAATTTTCTAAACATATCGGCCTCGAGTTAAATTTTTATTGTCTAAAAATCGTCATGGTGGTGCGTCAGCATTGCCTTTTGGTACCGACCGTGTACCTCAAGAGATACAAAAGTCAAGAAAACATTTTAGTAACAGCAGACTTTGTGATCGACGTCCTAAGGTAAACTTTCGACTATCTGATAAGATATTAATGCGTGAGTGTCCGCTTCCATGCTTTAAACCTTTGCGGTTGGAAATTTCAAGGAAAGTAGATTACTTAAAATTACCCGCATCCTGTGAATTATATTCTGAAAGAAGCCTAATCCCTTAGCGAAACGTTGGGCTCAACTTTGAGGATCCCAAGAGACTCTTTTTTTGAAAGTTATCTAGTTACCAACTTGGATCATATTCATGTTGTTTGATCGTATAGTTTCTTTTTGTTTTTATCCCGCATGTTGTTTTTTTGCGATGCTTACCTTTGTCGACCATGGTGTCGATGGCGCACGACGGGGATACATACCGCGATCCCCGATTAGAATACGTCAACACTAGATTACTGGCGTCTTCGCTCAGCTCTGAGGCAGAAATACTGATTGCACTGCGGTCGCTCTTCTTCAAGAAACGTTCGGCCATGTACCTGAAAGACGGACTGAGTTACTCCAAGTTAACCGCCTAGGACAGCCCATAAAAAGTCTGCGCGAGTTTACAGTTAGACAATGTACTCAAACTATGAATATAAAGACTGCGATGACATCCCCGAACCACTTAACCACCACTTGCTAATGCAACACTAAAGCTGTGACTCTGCGCGGCATTCGCTTTCTGACGCAAAAGTGGTTACAAGTCAGAACGCATTTTTATCTGACAACCACGCTTTGAGATACACCTTCTAGGCAATCTGAAAACCCCGCAATATTGTTATCGTTCTCACTGAAACTTTATACGCCAAAACAGGAAATAAACCTTTTTTTTTTTAAATATGTACATTGTGTGCCTCCACGAATTTCGTACACAGATCTTGATAATTCCTGCACTGAACCTAAAGGAAGAAATACATCCGTCCCCGCATACTCGTACAGCAGGAAATAAATGCACTAGCGTGGACGAATCATCATAAGAAATGTAGGGCACTTGCAGCCACGTTGAAGTAACTAATGATATACACTTTCTGTTGTTCCTAGCCTCCCGGTAACTTTTCCATGAGCCGACTCAACGTAGAGTACGCATAACTGAAAGGAGCCTAAATGCAATGACTTCTCCTCGTAACAGCGTGTGTACCTGCTCATAAATCATTATGTTTCGTATTCCGCAGCACTGTAAACATTTATAAGGGTTCACACGTTGCCATTACGAGGCTTTTACAGGAAATGTAAAACTATCAGGTCTCTTTAAAAAACTGCACTTCTGCAGGTTCAATATTTGTTTTCTAAAGTGTTGATTGAGAGCGACACTTACCCCGCTAGTTTCTTCTGGTAGTTGTCATAGATACTGTTGCCTGGTATGGGGTCGAGGAGTATAAGGATATCGCTTCTCGTATCGCAAGTTGCTGAAAACATCAAACCAATTTTGATCAATCTATATAAAACGCATGCAACTTTTCGGCGATAAACAGAAATGGCAAACAACGACAACAACAAGAACAGCAACAATACAAAGAACAAGGCAAGTACAACTCATAGACAGTTGTATAAGAGAAGTGCAAGAATGTTTAGTGAACGTGGGAGTTGGGACCTCACGTATATTTTTGTCGTCGCTTTCGGCACATTTTTTCGAGGTTCCTGAAAGATAAAAAAAAATTAATTATATTCTAACTGCTATTCTAGTTGTTGTTTTTTATTCAGAAAACGTAGGTTAGAGGAAGTTATGATTGAAAATAAAATTACTAGAGACAATAAATCGCACAATGGGCACAGGCGACCTCACTAAGCCATATATGCCTCGTTAATATTACCTCCCCCATACCAAAAAAAAAGTTTATAGTAACGAGACAAAACTTTATGTATGTAACCAATTCGTCTGGAAGCGTTATTTATATATCGGTTTATCCATAAGAATTACATTAAGGAGCCATGACGTATAGTCTAAGCTCTATTCACTTACCCATCAAGGAGCTTGCTTAAACATCGCGGGAATGGATATTCAATTAAATTAATTTAATGTTGAGAATTTATGTGCCCGATTAATTGCAGTCGATAACATTTTTTCTTTCTTTGGCTACGTAGACGAGAGATGTCTTACTAAGAAGGCGGTCGAGCTTGACATGGAAGCTCTTAAGCATTGGCAAGATAGCCATCTTGATAGCCGTGTGCTTCATCTCCGCGTTGTCCAGCTTGGCGAAGAGCCTCGCCATCACCAGCACTTGCTCCTCGAGTCTGGCAGGAGACAGCAGCCTTCCCACTGCCTCCTTTCTCGTACAGTAGGACAGCCCCTTTGGAAACTCGGGAAGGAGCTCGCGGATGCCTCTGCAATTCCAGGAAAAGTAGTTGTCCATGAACAAGTGCAAGTTTCCGATATATTAGGTGTGGTAGGGCTCTTTTTAAATTGCCCAAGTGCCAAGAAGCACTCTGCTAGTGAAGTTGCAGACGTTCCACGTGCTAGCATCTGCCGAAGTAACTGTTCTAAAGCAAAAGCCAAAAACGAATGGCACTTTTTTAGGTGAGTTTGTCAGAACCTTTTAAATGAGATAGCACTTCTTTGCCAAGATTAATAGCATTATTTAACAGAAGTATCAGACAAATTTCATAATAGCAGAAGCACAAAAACGACTCAACTAAATTAAAAAAACACTGTAGGCGTACCTGCGGCTGTAATACATATCAAGGAGTTGGCTCAGGCGCCGAGGCCGGTCCTTGCTGATCCTTTTCAGGACAGTGCCGAGGATGAACCCTGGACATGTAAATAAGGGTAATTATTGACGTTTTATTTTTTTAATAATAAATCGGATTCCAAGTTTTTTTTTTGTTTTTTTAACAAAACGCACGCACACCGCACGTTGTCTATTGCATAACGAATCAATGAAGAAGGCTGAGTTTATGTTAAATTCAAATTCATGCCAATACAGTTCTGCAGAAATTTGAAGTATTTGAGACACTGTAAAAAGACGACAGACTTCTCTGGGACGACTTCTCAATATCTAAATTTAAGTTATAAAAAGCAACGCCAGCTCTAGAAATGTGACCATACTAATCATAAGGAAAAAATGGCGTGCCAGTTTAAATTTTGTTTTGATGCAATTAGTTTGTTTTGTTCTTAAAAACATCAGAGGTCAGTTCAAAATAAACCTTACAACCATACTATAAATAAAGTTAACGATGCAATCAGAAATATTTTTTATAACTGCTGCAATGTCCAACCAGCCATTATCAAAAGAATGACTACCACATTAAAGACGTGGTGACAGAAAAAAACTAAACAACTAAAACACAATTCAGTACTATAAACAGAGTCCAAAGTGTTATCAGGCGATTCTTCACCATGAGAGTATCAGACGTAGAAAAGAATTGTGAGCAGCAGTAGAGGCTTTATTCGACGTTTCGAGCAGAGCCTGCTCTTTTTCACTTGAAAGAGAGCTGGGTGATTTCACGTCAGTTCATGCAATGACGGTCCGAGTCATAATTTAGATATTTTTGTTAAAAAATATATATGAAAGCCATGGTTCTTGGGAGGACCATTCAGGTATATATGAACGCCGTAACATTTTGTTTTTGCGAAGATATAAAATAGAGAAGCTCGGAACGTGGAAATTGAGAAGATTTCACGATGCTACTTTGCACAGTCGTCATTTTCTCATCGAAGCTTTCACGCCACCATAACTTTTTAATACATTTTACAAAAGATATACAACACATAAACAAAAAATGAAAAATATAAATAAATTATTTCTATGCAAACAAAACAAAAAAATCAAACATGGCATAAAACACGTTTTAGAGACATATTCACAATTGTTTTGTAAATAAACCATCTCTCATAAAACTTTACAAAAATATCAAAATGCGCGTCTTTAAATAATAATTACGTATACGTAAAAATTATATGCCCATCATTAATTGTCGTTTTGTTATTAACGCGGAAACGCAGCTGATTTCTCAAAATGTGGCAATGTTGGGCGTCGATATGTAAAAACCCCATCTTTTTTTCTTTTTTCTTTAAACTCCTCTTGGCACTTTGCAGTGAGCTGAACTAACCTGTGATGGCAAAACATTGAGTAACATATGACCTCCAAACGGGAAAAGCTACGACAAACCTTCACTCGGAGTGAGCCGACGTCCTTGCCATAGCGGCTTTGCCGCACAGCACCAACATTTTGTGCGTCAGTTTTGGCATGTATTTCATATTTATCAATTCTTTTTTTTTAATTTGTGAGTATAACTGACGCGAAAAGGGACTTTGAGCTGGAATATCATTAATTAGCTTACAATTCACAAAAACAAAACGGCCACACTCTGCAAATTCGCTAAGTATGCATTCATAAGCTTAAAACTCTCGGTTGCGCAAGTGGCCATGTATGCATCTGGCTTTTCCAACCGCACTCAACATATTTCATTGATATTTTTTAATGAAATATGAAAATATAAAATATTTGTTTTATTTGTTTAGAAATATTTCATTGATATTTTTAATTTTTTTTGTGTATGTGTTTTATATCTTTTGTAAAATGTATGAAGAAAGTTATGATGACGTGAAAGCTTCGATGAGGAAATAACGACTGTGCAAAATAGCATCGGGAAATCTTCTCAATTTCCACGCCTCGATCTTCTCTATTTTATATCTTAGCGAAAACAAATGTTACGGCGTTCATATAAAGCTGAATATTCCTCCCAAGAACATGGCTTTCATATATATTTTTAACAAAAATGTTTAAATTATGACTCGGACCATCATTGCATGAACTGACGTGGAATCATCCAGCAGGCTTTGCTCGATACGTCATATAAAGCCTCTGCTGCTCTTCATAATTTTTTCTACGTCTTTAAACAGATCAAAGAAACCGCTCAGTCAGTTTGTTTGGTATTTTCGCTTGCTTGTTATCTTCAAGTACTGTTTGATAAAGCAAGAAAACAACATAAATATGGAAATAAGCCACCTTACTAAGACATCAAGCGAAAATCCGATATAAAAATTCACTCAGAATGGCCAGCCTAAGTTTAAAAATGAGTGTCTCTCTTTTGTTTCAAGGACGTATTTATATAATGTTATCATAAATTCGTTTTTACTACATACACCATAGATTTTGGTTCTAACGTATTCCTGAGACGAAGTTGTAATATTCACATCTTGTATTGGTATTTTTTATCTTCTAACGTTCCCGGTAAATACCGCGAACTTTCCATTCATGCATTTTTGTTTTTGTCATTAAAATATTGCAATGGAAAGAGGATATGACATTCTACTTTTAGTTTTTTTTTTTAGTTTCCTCAGCCCCAGTCTCACGCGAAGAAAGCGCGAAATTAGCACCAATGCAGAGGCAAAGAGAACTTGCGTGGGTGCAGGAGGAACTGTTACCTAATTATACTGCGATGTCAAGAAAGAAGTTTTTCTAATGCGGTAGTAACAAAAATTAATTTTTTGGTCATGCTATGCGAATCAAGCTTCAGATATTGAAGTAAAGTAATGTTGGGGGTGTCGCAAAGCTCTCTAGATATCCTAAAGCTTCTAATTTTTTAATAGTATGAAATACGTCTGACGGACCACATCTTTCAATGAAAGATGTGGTTGTGTTGTCCCTGTTTTAATTGTTTTATTCTTTCTTCATCCATGACTTAAACCAACACGCTCTTCTCCCAAGCATGATTTATCAATTTTAGTTAGTGTAGCCATAAAATTATGCACGTCATGCACGTCACGTATATGCAAATCTTAAAAAAAGGTAGTCTGTACAACAATTTGTCCATCTTAGTCTATAAAAAAGTGCTTTGACGTCGAAAGGCTTGAAAGCATCTCTTAACGCTTGACCTACCGTCCAAGGCCCCCAGAATCTCAGCGTCGGTGAGCTTTCCGGGCTTTCTGGCAACCCTGAATTCTCTCGGACACATGGATGTCTTCCAAAAACCGCTTGCTCCGATGATTGGCACCTTGGTGTTGCTCCAGGAGGAAAGGGTCCCGAGGTGACCTGCCCAGATAAAACACACGGGCAGGGTTGATAATGATGGTGGCAGTATTGATGTCCTCGTTTATTCCGTATTTTGTGTCACGTACCATACGTTGGCTAACAGCGAATGTCACGGCCGCAGTAAGCCAGTTAGGGGGGAAACAAACGCGACAGCTTTCAGTTTCTACTTGGCGAGTTCACTCTGACGAATTTGACACGCGCCTCGCTCCGAACCCTTTATTGGCTCGTTGGGGCAGTAGACTTCCCCGTTTTTCAAGATATGCTGAACCGGGGCAAACATAAAGAAGTGCTGTAAAACCAAACACGGCTTCAGCTCTAGAAAAAAATACGGAAAACCGCGTACTCGAAAAGTGAAAAAGAAAAGTAGTGTCAAGTTTAGAGATCCTAGTGCAAGCTCAATTTTGGTATAAATAAAACGACAATATGTATCCACTTAAACACGTAATACGTTTTTTATGTCGTTCTTTTTGACTTTGTACAATTGTAAAGTTAGTGTACAAGTAATTTAAATTGCCTTTTGAAATATATATTGTGATTCATCTTGGAAAAGTTAGAACTTGGTTTTATTTTATACCATGATTAGAATTAAGCCACCTTAATTATTGGGAAAGCTACTGCGAGTATTTTTTTTTCTTATATGTAGGGGAGTCGAGTCTATCTCGCGTTATGGGGAACATAACTTCATACGACTCTGAATAACGGCTTTGATAAAACATTCAAAATGATGTGATAATGTTTATGGGGTATTTATGAACACCATATTTAGCTTACATTAGACGTTAACTTGGCAGTCATTTTTATATCTAAGTTTAAGGTGCAGCCCGTTGGCCCGTTTGCTTGCTTGCAGGGACACAAAACGAATATTTAAAAATACTTAGACATATAAAACGAATGGGCTCTATAAGATTTCATTCACCAATTATTTACCCTTTTCTCTCTTTTCATTACAATGCTAAATATGTTTTATATCAATAATCGCACAAAGGAGCCGTGCAAAACATTCTAGTTTTGAACTCTACTACCTACATATGTAAGAACAAAAAAAGAATACGTTTATACTGGTAAAAATAGTGTGAAGCGGGGTTAAGGTCACTGATCGCGCATCAAAATGGGGTGTGCATGGTTAAACTGTTCTCTTTTCCCTTAAAACCTTTTTTTTTAAACTTCAGCTCAATATAAGTGGATTCTGACATATCATTCGCCGCGAGTTTGATAAGAGGTTGTTTGTGTAGCCACTGCCGGTCCTTTCCGAATTATTTTCAGATGTTTCTTACCGGCTAAGGTCGGCCCGTAGATGTGGTCAATCACGGAGTGTCCCTGGGGCATGTCGCTGTAAGGCTTGAGCAGCTTGAGCAGGTTTTCGGCGCTGTCCCGCACGGAATACTTGCTGGCCACGATGCCCCTGAGGACGTGACCCATGGTTACGGCAAGGGTGGAGTTGCCGGCGATGTTGACGACACCCTGCTCTTGTACCCTGATAAAGAAAAACAAAAAAAACAGCAACAATATAAGGACACAAGTCAGTTTTGTTTCCTGGCCATTCTTCACGGTATAGGTTTTTAAAGTTCATTTTCATTTCTTTTTTTTTATCTAAAAACCATCCAAAGGATGAATTAATAAGGGGATGAACAAAACATATGATACAATGTGATTATTTAACATTAAAAACGGGAACAATACAAACACAAGAAGTGAAGCCAGATTTCATTTGATTAAGATATGGTCAATGAAGTGAGAATAACAAAAGTGACAAAGATGATTACTTAACACACAAAAGCAAAAAAAAATATTTTACAATCTCGCGTTACAATGATGCAGGGAAATACAAGTCAGGATCAGCAGTTATTCACATGTTTACATTGGTCTTCAAATAAGATAGCATTATGATTGGTTATGGTGAGGCATATATTTCCAGTAATTGATGCAAAGTACTAAAGGGACAAAGGAAAAGTGTGAGTGTTGCACTTAAATGGTTCAAATGGTTCAATTTTGCATAAGTGCTTTAATCATGATGATGTGAAATTGTCCAAATGGCAAGGAAAATACTTAAAATGGGAATCGGTGTAATAGACCGAGGAAAAAACAGGAAAACCTGGTAATTTATCTTGTTTCTTCTAAAAGAGGTTTGTAAAGCAATTGTTGGAAGCTCCCCAAAACATGTTTCATCATATCTATGCTTTAAACAATTCTAGTGTGTCTATACTTTCCCATATAATATGTTAGAAAGACAATCAATGCTATTTATAAAAAAGAATAAACTCAACAAAGGGCAAAGTCTAAATCATGTTCAGAAAAAAAATATGTGCAAGGGCAGAGCATGACGTTTCACTTTGATGAGTGTCCTATCGCAGATATGATTTTAATTTTAAACATATTTTCGGCTTGTCGTTTGCTTAAACTCCGTGTCGTTAGCTTAAACTTCGTGCGAGTGAGACGCGGATGTTAGCATTCCTCGATATGCGCGGCGGCGCGCATGGCGCAGCTATTCACTGAATTCAGTCACGTGACGAGCAAAGATTCCAGGGCCGTGCAGGAAAGCCGGAGCTACGGCCACCCGCCGAGGGTGGACGCGAACTCTAGCCGTGGATATAGAATGCGAAAGATCGAGAACATGGTGTTACCTCTTTGAAGCAAAGTTCTTAAGCCTAATATGCGACCAATAAAGAAATTGCATTCTGTCTTAAGAAGAAATTGAAATAAAAAATATCATTTGGCAGCAAGATAGAGAACAAGGTCTTGTTGACAAGTTGTTTCGCTGATATCAACGCCGCAGGCGCCCACAATGTAATTTCTTAATTTTTCAAATATTAGGCATAGGTAGAAGTTGGTTCATATAGACATTTTTTCCACGTGGTTTTCTTATTCTGATCCAGGAATATTTCCGAACCTTGACATTCTACTAGGGTGACCACCCGTCCCGCGACTCGCAGGACTGTCCCGGATTGAGGGCTCGTGTCCCGCGTCCCGCGAGAAATTCGAAAATCTTCAAAATGTCACGCATTTCACACTGGCGTAAAATTAATATCGCAACTTATGGTGCTGCCCAACAACGGGGCACGGGGAAGCGCGGAGGTCGCTGGTAATCGTGTGAATCGAAATGGTTCGCCACTTTGTATCTAAGGGTTGCAAGAGAACCGACGCGCATGCTCCTCTGTGCCTCTCCCTTTGGTGGTAAATGTTGTAAGAAAAATTGCTCGCCAAGTCTAAATATAAAATATTGTATTTTTTTTAAATCGCTGGGTCAATGCGAAAGGGCTGCTGTGGGCTTTTTAATTTTTTTTTTATTGAAGACAGCCACACTCGCAACGGTCGAAAAAGAACACAATGTTAAAAATTTTATAGGACCATGCTGATCAAAGCAAGCGTTGACAGGAAACAATAACCCGAAAAAGATTTCCTGTTTCTTATTTCCATTTGATGCATTGAGTTGATAGAGCCGACTTTTATGTTTTCAGCTTCGACACATTTAATAACATGTTTGCATGAAATAAAATATATCACCTGGGAGTGGAAATTATCTGAACTCAATTGCTGCAATACAATTAGCAGGTGTATGACAGTACAGGATAATAAATGTGTTAACACAGCCTCGGTTCGTTGTGTGCATGTTAACCAATTTAATCTAACCGCCCCCCCCCCCCCCTTGCCCTGCGTGTCCCGCATTTCGCTAGCGGGAAAGTGGTCACCCTACATTCTACCCTGATTACTTGCGTCACATTCACGAAGAGTTTTAGCGATATGCAATGAGTAGTTTATTAACGCGGGTCGAAAAAACAAAAGTTCAATTTTCTCATTCATATACCTTGTAGAACCACGGTTATTTTGAGTGTGCAGGCTCTCTTGAAGTTTCTCGTCTAGTGTCTGTAGTGTTTTACGAAGAACAATCGATCTCCAGAAGAAATTTTAGTACGACAAACTTTATCGGCCGCAACATCATCAAAGTTTTATTATTTCGCAGCATGCGCCGCACGTCTCTTTATAGCAGGAAGCTCAACGCTGCGACTCCAGACAGTCAAAAAAGTCGAAGCAGCAAAAAGCCATTGCCCTAATTCGAAACGCTTTATAGGGGATCGTGGAATCAACTCACGTCCTTAGCAGTGCGCTCTCTTTCTTCTCTGCTCCGCTGTTGAGTGCGTGGGAGAGCATGGCGAAGAGGGCGCACTTGCGGTCTTCGCTCAGCGCAGCCTCGTTGAACTCTGGCGGCTCGGAGGTCCTGAGAAGGGCCTCGAAGATGGCGGACTTGCGCTCGCGGCCGGAGTTGACCACGAATCGTTCTCCGTCGGGGAGCCGTTGGTGGTCCACGAAGTCGATCGAGAACCTGCGTGGAAACGGGGAATCTGTTGAATTTCTACGCTCTAAAAAGTCCAGTGCGTCCACTCTTCCGCAATCCACTTGGAAGTTTCACGTCCTTACATCATGCTCAGTGTCAAAGCGCAGACTGTTTTTTCTTTATGTATTAACATAATTTAAGCCTCGTCATTGGCCGAGCTTTTACCGTAGATTGCAGCTAATGGCTCCCCCTCAAGTGCTTTGCGAGAAAGTAAATGCTCCAGATTTTTTTAAGTGCACAACTGTGCACTTAATAAATTTCTTAATTATCAACACGTCGTTCCTTTCCCATGGGCCCAGGAGGGAGGGGCAGAAAAGGCGGGAGCAGATTGGGGCAAATCTTGAGCGCTGACATCGATGGTCCTGACAGACAGAACCAGAAAGAGAGCGACAGAAGAGTGGAGAAAGAAAGCAGCCGAAAGGTTAGGCGTTGCAGTGACCCGCGTTAGCGTTACTGAGAAATAACTTCTTTGTCTTTATTTACGTTTACCTTTCACTCGGAGCGTGAGCACCACGTCGCGTGCTCACGCTCTGGCGAGCGCGTGAATGAAGAGTTCGATTCCCGATGCCGTATTCGTTTGACGAGATGAGGGGGGATCGGTGGCCGAGTGGTCTAGCGCACACCAGCTCGGAGCACGTGGAGCGAAAGCTCGCGCTGCAGAACCCAGGGATCCTGGGTTGAATCCCCACCCCTGCCCGTTTCGATCTGGATGAGCATCGTACCGGCGTGCGGTCGTGTATCACTACTGCGTGGTGCACGTTAAAGACCCCAGGCTAGCGGTTGTACTGCACTGGCTAAATTGTTCATCTACAGCTGGGAGACTCGTCGCCCCTGTGAGGCAGACCAAGTTCTAGGCTGTATAAACATACACACAACCCAATTTTTTTGACGAGATGAAGTTGCTCGAGCACTTGTCAACTTTATTTAGCAAATGCGCAATTCCTGTGTTTTCCTGCAAAGTATGCGAGAAAAAAACTTTACAGGTGATGTATTCCTGCTTCTTGGTGTATAGGCATCGCCGGCGATATGGACCCGTCGCGACCACCATCTGCTACCACCGATGTCCGCGTCCGTGCCGTTCCGAACGGCCCGAATGCATGGGACTTCATTATATTAACTCTTTGCATGGGCCTAAAGTAAGCCTGAAAATGTTCTGAGTAGAGTGCCTTCATGTGCGCTTTGCTTAGGGTGGTGACATGTCGCCATTTTGTCCCACACGTTTATTTTCATGTTTTGTTCAGAAGCGCGTGAAAGAGCGTGACCCTGCACGGATTTGTGGCACTGACTGTGCTATGGCGACATTTTATTTTCGTCAATTTCTTTGTATTTTCCCCGTGAGCGCGTGCTGTCCGCATCGGGTACTACAAAGGGTGGCATCACCCTAAACGGGAGGACATTGAGGCACCCTAGTTCTGAGCGACTATTTTTTTTATAGATGGTGCGTAGGTTTGGCATCGCAAATGCTGCAAAACATTCAGTCTGGTTATACGCATATCGGAGGTGTTCCAGGTCCACCGATAGATGCGCATGGCGCCAGTGTGCCAGTGTGCTTTCTCTGCGTAAGCAGTCACGAGCGATTGCAGCGCAATCGATCCCGTTCAAGCGCAAATGTGGGGACCAGTCATCAGAAATGCGTATCATGCTGTGGAGTGGGCACGACGTAGCTGTTCTCAATGCCCCAGAGCCGGATGCGCACCACAGAAGGCGCGGAGGTTTCTGAAAGAAAGGGCCATTAGCAAAATACCGATATTTGACAATTTTAAATACCTTGGTGTTTCTAAACTCCCACCCCCTTTCTTTTCTTGTTGTTGACGTCAACATTATAAGATTTTAATGCGTAATGACCATGGCAGAAGTATAAAGAAAAAAGAAAAATCTTTCATGCCTTTTTCCGCCAATTTTGATGGGGTCAAATGCTGTTTCCGATCGATTGCACGTTTTTTAATTTTAATTTTTTGTGTTTTGTGGTATTTTGATATTGGCTGAAAATGCAAATGAGGAGAATGGAGAATGACCCGTGGTCTCGAAAACTTCCATTCGCTCGGAGCAGAATTCGTCCGCTCGATTCGAGCCAGCTGTTTGACTCGCAGGAATTCCCGAGGCGGCGGCATGCCGAAATTCGACGGGTACGTGCACT